CTAAATATAAATATATATATGAAATTAAATATTTATATCTAATTGGATTGATAATAGTAATTTAATTAAAAAATGAAAGACTTTGACTAGATTTTAATTCTATAATATTTTCTAAATCATCTAAAATTGTTATGAAATCAACTGAAATAAATTAAGTAACTACATCCCTTCCCTAACAATAATAAAGTCTATTTGTATATGCTCTTAAATATCTTTTCAATGGCCATACTTATTATGATAAAGATAATAATTTTATTAGATCTGGGAATGTATGGATTTTTCTACATTTTTTTTGATTAACTTTATGTTATTCTTCAACTAATTAACTGAAAAGACCAAAAAATGTATACATATAAGTAAGTTCTGGACTTATATCAATTTACATCTAATCCTTATTTAATTTTGAGTATTCTATTTAGTATTAATTTATATAATATGAAATTTGATCTTCAGTTAATATTAAATTCTCAATAATAGGTTCAGAAGTTTATGATGTAACATCACTAAAACTTTATTCAGAATTTTAAGTAGCCATAATATCTGAAGTGGCTAAATTTAAACTTAAAATAAGATTTGCATATGAATTTTCTTATAAATTTTACAAAGTCAAAGTTTGATTTTGTGGTATGTATGATGAATTGAAAATTAATATAATTCTCAAAAAATCTAATAATTTTGATTTGTAGTAATTACTCAAAGGTGAACTATCACATTATTTAAGAACCATTTATAAAACATTAGGAATCTCTCTTTAACTATAAATTAATGGTTTATTATTTGCAAATAAAGCTTTTAAGAAATCAATCATTCCAATATTATATTATATATGAGGATACATGGATTCTTTATATTTTGATAAAGCTATTTTATTTTCCATATGATTCCATATTATTAATGTAAGATAATCATAACAAGCATGTAATAATTTCCAATAAATTTCTGATAAAGATGGAACAAATATTTTGATAAAATTTAATATTGGAATATGTAATTCTTGAGCTATTAATAAAGATTGATGAAGTCTATAATTTAATTCTCTTTCATGATATATAATTCTAGATCTATTATCAGGATAATAATCTTCATAACTTAAAGATACTTATTGTTTTGTTTTGTCAAAATCTTTTTTTAAATATTTATTAAGTCTCTATAAATTTTAAATAAGACCTGCTTTTTAAGCTTCTTATGAATTCAAATTCCAAATTATATTTTATTTTTAAAATGTTGGACTATTTTCATTATACATTTCTATAAAATAAGAATCTGTCAAAATATCAAATTTATTAAAAATCAAAGAACTTAATTCAGATAATTCTTATGTTTTTCCTGAAACTACAATAATTATTTTTTCAAAGTTAGATATTAATTCTTTTCTTTAACCATAAGCTCTTTTTAATATTTCAAGTGAATATTTAGGTAATAATGGATTTTCATAGAATGACAATTCAGCAAATATTAATTCAAAAAATTCAACATCAGATAAAGATCTTTTTTGTATTAATAATTTAAATTTTGAAATCCAATTTTAAGGATCATAAAATACTTTTTCTTCTTCAGTAGATTTCTTTTTTAATTTATCAGCAATAGATTTAGCATTTGGTTTTGTACTTTCACTGGTAAATAATGTTTTTATTTTTGAATTTGATTTTATATTTCTACTACTTCCTGATTATTTTTATTCTATATTTTCAATAATTTTTAATTCAATCAATAGAGTTTTTAAAAGTTTAGCAGCTTCAAAAACTCTTATATTTGCTTCAAAATCAAAAATCTTTTATATAATTTCACAAGCTAATTACTTGCATGAAATTTTAACACTATTTGATTCAGATAATCTTGTTGCTTTAAGTTTATGATCAATAAAACTTTATACATAAGTACCTTATTAACTTGATAACATAGAATTTTCTTTTTCATTTCCAAAAGAGAATTCATTTATACTACTACATATTTAATACATAAAATTTAAAATTTGTTATATTTGATCTAAATTTACATAAAATCCAAAATCTAATTGACATCCTATTATTTTCAATATTTCTTAAAGAGTTCTTTAAAATTCAATGTTTTTCCATAAATTTTTATTTTTCTCCAATTACAATAAAACAAATAGATTAAACTCTTATAAAGGATGATTAGAATCTATAACATCTATAAATTGAGGGTATTCATCATCTAAAGCTGAAAATATCTAAACTCTTTTAATTCTCTTAACTTTTTCAAATGGAACATTATCTATATAAGCATACCTAATTAATTTTAATATAGGTCTCATAATACTAAACCTTGAATTCTTTTCTGCTTCTTCAAGAATTTTCAATAAGACTTATAAAGGAAAATTATCATCAACATATTTTTTAGCTTATTTATTTCTCTTCATACAAATATCACCTAATAAATCAAAATAACTTTGAAAATAATTCCATTATTAAAAAGAATCAACTTTTTAACTTTCTCTATAGAATTCTTCAAATGTACGGAATTTATTTATTTTTTAGATTGGACATAATACTTATAATTAGTGTTATTCATCTATTTTAAATTGAAAACAAAAATCTAATTTTATTAATATATAATTATACCAAATCCAATTTTAAGAAAAAATTATTATAAAACTAATGATTAATTCTCTTTAACAGGTTAACCATTAGAAACACAAATAGAACTTAAAATTTTTAAGTATTTTTCATGAGGAACTTGAGATCCAATAATTTCAATAATTCTTATTACTAGATTTTAATTTAAGAATTTTTTAATAGCTAAAACATTATTATCCAATATTTCTGCTAAGAATCTTTAAATATATGGTTCACTCACCATTATATATTAATGAAGATACATTTCCATCCATTAAGAAGCGTAGGTTTTGTTTGAATTATTATTTTAAATTAATTTAGTAAGTAATGAATAAGTTTCTGAAAATAAAGTTTTAATGAGTTATTTCTAATGTTTCCAAAATAAAAGCTTTTTAGTTCCAGATTTATAACATAATGAATATAAAATTTCTATCAAAATTTCTATATAATACAATTCTTTCATTATAATTTATCTTCTTGAATTAACAAAAGCATCTATTTCTTCATCTTCTTCTTCATCTATTTCTAAATTAATAATAAATTTGCTTAAACCAGCTAATAATTTTTCTATCTGCTTTATTTATTCTAAATTAGCCATTGAAGCAAAATATTAATGATTGACTTTTAAAGCTCCAGAGAAATTAATTAAATATTCTAGAGCTGAAAAGGCTTAAATAAGTTCAGTTTTTTAATTACTATCAACTCTTTTTATAATAAAAGCATCTGTTTATTTTTTACCCTTAAATGCTGTTTTAAATAGATTCTCTTCTGTTTATGTATGTTTATTAAAAAATCCACCCAATGAACTTATATCTTTAATTTGACCAAATGATTATTGAGTATGATGTTAATTCAATTTAATTAATGTTAATGTATTGTCATCATGAACTAAATTAACATATGAACCATCAACAAATTCTTAATCATGATTATTAGCTAATTGTAAATCAATTGGAGTTCCGATATCATCAATAAAAGCTTAAATGCAATCATCATCATCCAATCTTTCTGCACATTTAATTAACTTTCCTGTTAAATAATGTCTAAGTAAAATAGTCTAATATATATGTTTATTTCTTTTTTATTTTGTTAATTATCCAACATTAGGACCTGCTCCAGTTGCAACATTTGCAGATGTTCTTCCAGAAGATTATATAGTACCAGGTAATCCAATTAAAGAAAGTGGTAAAGATACTTTAGTAGCCAATACTGATGGAAGTCTTGTTATTACTGGTTTAGATTAAAGTTAAGGAACTGTTTATTGACATTTTTATTCATTCTTTTCTTAAGTAAATGTTATCTCCCATAAACAATCTATAGGAACTTAAGTCTTTTGATCAATCAATTTTAATGCTAATGAATTCTTTCTTAAATCTATACAAAGATAAGAATTATTTTAAGTAAAGTTGAATACACATATATCTCTATCTTATATTAAATTTGATGGTTATATATATTCTTCATATGATTAATATTGATCTATTTTCCAACTACTTGTTGAATTATGACTTATAATTAATTCATATCTATGTGATTCATTTGATAGACCTTTTAAATCAGGTCTTAAATCAGATTATGGAGGTTTATGATCTAATTAAACAGGAGCCTTTAAACTCTTTTCTAACCAAAATTTTGATGAATCTGAAAGTATTTTTACTTATTCTTTAGTTTAAATTGGTCTGCCTGTTTTTTAATGACTTTTACAGGCCTCTAATTTAAATATGATATTGCTTGATAAATAAGGTTGGAGTTTTATTTTGAATGAGTCACTTCTTTGATCACTGCATTCATCTGAGGATACTAAATAATACCCAGATTCAATATGCTTAAAAATTGCTTCAGCTCTATTCTAAGATAATCTGATACCCAAAATATAGTTCTTCATTCATTTTGTTTTCAATCATCGCCAAATATTATTCTTTTTCTGATTTTACTCTATATAGTAATCCTTTATTTCTTTGCCTTTCATATAATTTAAATATTTACTTTGTTTTATAATATTCATCATGAATCTCAAAACTACCTCTAGGTAAAAGTTAAAATAAGCCTTCTCTGAAATTATTCAAATCATTCACATCTTCATAAGTTTGATAATACACTGCCTTGTCAAAGAATCTAAACTTAATTCCAAATTCTTTTACCCTTTAGCTGAAATGAATCCTTAACCTCCACTGTCAGTTTTTCCCTGAATACGTACTATAGAGCCATATTTTAAATTTTATTATGGTTTCATTCAAAATTATAATAATAATTATAATATTCTGTCAAAAAATTCAATCAAATTTATGTATTTAGTGATGAATCTAAGTCAATGTATAAATAATATATATATAAAGAGTTATTCATATCTTAATTATTTTTAAAAAACATAAATAATCCTTAGAATTTATATTAAATTATGTTGGAAATATTAGATAAAATTAAATGGAATTGCATTGGGATACAATAGAGTTTGAATTTTGGTTAGAAGATTTAAAATAAATATATATAAATACTTTTTATTCATTAATTGTTGAAAATATTTTCTTTTAATTATCTAAATTAATTTACAAAGATGAAGAAAATTTTGATTTAAATTAAATGATAGATCTAATTTAATAAATTGAAATTGATAATTTTATTAAATTAACACTACAATTTCAGATGTTTAATATTGTACTAACATATGCTTCGGGGTTCGATAAGGTTAGAAATAAGAAAAAAGAGATATCTTTATTTATAATGAACATAGTATTAGAATATTATAAATATGTTGCTGATAATAGATTTCTTTGATTACTAATATTAAGATCATATAGTCTATAAGGCATTTGAAATCAAATTTCTTAACAGGATATGACAGAGATGATGAATATTGAATTAATTACAGTATGTATATGGACATACTTTTTATAAAGAATAGATTAAAAGTTACATAGATGGAATAAATATAGAGTAAAGTTCTGTATCATCCTAAATATATATTTCTCATGCGTACTTCAATTACAAATATTATAACAAGTTTAATCAGGAGTATTTACAAAAAAAGAAAATTATAAAATAAATTTTATATTGTCCTGAGGAAGAAAAGATTTGTTGATTTCAGCTTTTAAATTGAAAAGGAAAGAGGAGAATATTTAGTACAAATTACTTGAGAATCCAGAAAATATATATATGATTAAATTAGAAAAAAGGAGAAAACATATCCTGAGTATTATTTATTATGGATAATTGAAATAATTATTTTATTAAAATATGGTTTATGTAAAATACATAACAAGGATTCATAAATCAAAATATTGTTATGATAATGATTCATTAATAATCATTAGAGTCTACTCAAAATTTACTGATGAATGTTAGATGTATTTATTTAACTATCATAAAATTAATTAATAAAAATTATGTATGAAAATGATAATACAGATACAGCTGACAGTCATCATAAAGTATATAATTATTAAATAAAGAATGAGGAATTGATAGAAGAGTTATAAAAGTATTGGCGATTAGTGATTTCTCATATGGGATAGGACTACTAACATCTATTAAAATTGTCAAGTGATTCTGATGCACTAGAATTAGTTTAATCATTGATGATTTTAGAAGATATTCGATTTAATGATAAGAAAGTTCCATAAAATCATGATTTAGAAAACGAAATTATGCAATTTAAATAATAAATTTCTTACCAAAAAAATGAATTGGAATCAAAAACCAAACTCATACATGAATTACTATAAAAGCAAACTTAATTATAAGAGTAAAATCAAGAAATGCTTCTATAATTGATAAAAAAAGAAGAGGAAAATTCCAGTAAGATAGCTCAACTTGAAAAAGAAATGAAAAACAATAACAGAATTTAGAGTAGAATACCATCACAATTATAATCTGCTCGTCTACCAAATTAATAGTATAGTTAATCAACTAAAAATTCTCCCTAACCCAGAGAATTCAAATAACTAAACAATTATTATTAAACAACATTAAGTAAATTATTAAAAGTTTCAGGTACTCATAATAATAATACAATTAAAAATAATAGCAATATTATTTTTTAATGAAGAAATGCTTGATTGCTATAAAAATTTTTCTTCTGATAAATTTATTGTCTCTATATGAATTATAAAACTAATGATCAATCCAATTTAATATTTTTAAAATCTCCTCTTTTAGTTATTATTTCAATAGGTCTAGTCTCAATATTTTCAGTAGGAGGTCTAATACCCTAATGATAGAATATGTAATGAATACTTTATTAGATTATTTAGTACCAATAGCAGTTTTCTTATTATTAAAATCTCTCCATTTATTAACTCTTTCATCTCTTGTCTTTTCCCATTCTTCTTCAGTCAAAATTTTATATTATTCCAACATTTTCCTTCTTTCATATTCATCTAATTTGTATCTCTTTTATGATTATTCTAATCTAGTAAGATGTTATTTTCTGTCTTCTATTTCACTAAATAAATTCTTGCATTATTTTTAAAAATCACTTTCAAAAGTATCAGCTTAAAAATAAATTCTAAATTCTACGTGGTAAAGGAGCTACTCCAGTTTTTTCTCTTCTTTTATTTTCTCTAAGTCTTTCAAATTCAGTTTTCTCTCTAGCTTCTCTCATAATTCTAATATAAACTTTTCTTTTCTCTGGTTCCATTAAAGTTTTATAAGCTTAATCAACTATTTACCAACAGTCTTTAGCTCTTGGATCTTGACATTTATCTGGATGTAATAATTTTGAAAAAGAATTAAACATTTTCTTAATATCTTCATCTGTTGCTTCCATTCCTAAATACAAAACATCAAAAGGATTATAAAATGTTTCTGATGATAATCTTTCCAATTCTTCATCAACCTTTAATACTTTTTTCAGAATTGGCTAAAATGGATTTTTTAGTGCATGGTTGATTTCTTATTATTACATAAATTATAAATAAATTATTTAACGGATGATTTCTTTTATGGTAATGTCTAACATGCTATCAGAACAATTAAAAAATCAATACAAGAGTAAATCAGTCTATTGGAGATAGGAAAAAGAAAAACTACTTCAAACTTTTCAACCAAGATAAAATAACTCATAATCATAATAAAGATCAAGAACTAGTGAAAGAAAAAGTATTATAAAGAACTTAGTAGATTCACTTTATAATTAAGGAACTCCTGAAAAAAACAAATCAATTTATTATCATTTCTAATCCTAAATCACTTAATAAAAATAACAGTAATAATATTAAAGTTCTGCCAAAAAATAACATACAGAAGAATTGACTTTATCTACTATTATCAATAAATATTAAAAATAAGTTGAAACATGTAATTAAAAATAAATAATATATGATCCAATAGCAGAATAGATCATAGAATCATTTTAAGAACTCAAAAAGAGATCTGCATAAAAATAAGAAATATAAAAATGTTAATCAGAATAGAAAAATATTGAGAATAGCGCACACAAATAAAATATATTCAGTAGAATTAATTAAATTAGAGAATTTATAGATTAACAATTAAAAACTAATATTGATGAATCTAATAATAAAGATATTAAATATGAAAGTTAGTATTAATCAGATGTTGATTAAAGTTCTGGTAATTTGAGAAATAAATCAGTAGAATTTAAATAGTTTTTGGATTAAAGAGTAAGTGTAGGAAGAGATTCTACAAATAATAGATTAAATCACAGGATTAATAAACTTCGTACTATACGTAGTTGTACAACATTAGATATTGGAATATAAGTTTCATTATTAGATGAAAATACAATACAATTAAATCCATAAACACAAAAACAATAACAAGATAGTTATCAATAATATAATGATTAAAATAATTCTTAGAATTATTAATAAAAATATTAATAACAAAAATCAGATAGAAGTAACAATTCAAGAAGAAACCATTAAGAATAATATGAAGTTTAAAATACATTATAATAAACATCTCCTTAATAATCACAAAATCCATATTATTAAGTTGAATAATCACTAACTTCAGAATATTAATTACCTTTATAATAAATGTAATAACAACAATATTAAAATGAAGATTCATTATAATAATCAAAAAACTCAGGAAGAATGAGTAGAAGAAGTGAATTTCTATAAAAAGTAAGATATTCAACAAATGCAAATGATGAGAATAAGGAAAGATTTTCTGTAAATATTGAAGAAATCAAAAAAGAAAGATTATCAGAAAATGAAAGATTTTCAGTAACTTCAAATGAAATTAATGGTAAAGATGGAATCTTGGTCAATTTAGATTTTAATAAAGAAAGATTTTCTGTTAGATCAAATGAATAATATACTTAAAATAAAGTTAGGAATTCAATAAAATCAAATTTTGAAGAAGATTTTAAAGATAAATTAATATTGAAATTGAATAAACCTGATATAACACTTCCAATTTAATATAAATGTATTACAAATAATAAAGAGAATGTTGGAGAACCTTCGATTTAGACATCTAAAATNAATAATATTAAAGTTCTGCCAAAAAATAACATACAGAAGAATTGACTTTATCTACTATTATCAATAAATATTAAAAATAAGTTGAAACATGTAATTAAAAATAAATAATATATGATCCAATAGCAGAATAGATCATAGAATCATTTTAAGAACTCAAAAAGAGATCTGCATAAAAATAAGAAATATAAAAATGTTAATCAGAATAGAAAAATATTGAGAATAGCGCACACAAATAAAATATATTCAGTAGAATTAATTAAATTAGAGAATTTATAGATTAACAATTAAAAACTAATATTGATGAATCTAATAATAAAGATATTAAATATGAAAGTTAGTATTAATCAGATGTTGATTAAAGTTCTGGTAATTTGAGAAATAAATCAGTAGAATTTAAATAGTTTTTGGATTAAAGAGTAAGTGTAGGAAGAGATTCTACAAATAATAGATTAAATCACAGGATTAATAAACTTCGTACTATACGTAGTTGTACAACATTAGATATTGGAATATAAGTTTCATTATTAGATGAAAATACAATACAATTAAATCCATAAACACAAAAACAATAACAAGATAGTTATCAATAATATAATGATTAAAATAATTCTTAGAATTATTAATAAAAATATTAATAACAAAAATCAGATAGAAGTAACAATTCAAGAAGAAACCATTAAGAATAATATGAAGTTTAAAATACATTATAATAAACATCTCCTTAATAATCACAAAATCCATATTATTAAGTTGAATAATCACTAACTTCAGAATATTAATTACCTTTATAATAAATGTAATAACAACAATATTAAAATGAAGATTCATTATAATAATCAAAAAACTCAGGAAGAATGAGTAGAAGAAGTGAATTTCTATAAAAAGTAAGATATTCAACAAATGCAAATGATGAGAATAAGGAAAGATTTTCTGTAAATATTGAAGAAATCAAAAAAGAAAGATTATCAGAAAATGAAAGATTTTCAGTAACTTCAAATGAAATTAATGGTAAAGATGGAATCTTGGTCAATTTAGATTTTAATAAAGAAAGATTTTCTGTTAGATCAAATGAATAATATACTTAAAATAAAGTTAGGAATTCAATAAAATCAAATTTTGAAGAAGATTTTAAAGATAAATTAATATTGAAATTGAATAAACCTGATATAACACTTCCAATTTAATATAAATGTATTACAAATAATAAAGAGAATGTTGGAGAACCTTCGATTTAGACATCTAAAATAAATAAATATGAATAAGATAATAAATTAGGGGATAGGTTTGAAAGTAAAATAAATACTATTGAAATTCCAAAGATTATTTAAGCTTTAAATTTTGATAATATTGAATTAAATAAACCTTATTCTGGAACTCAAATTTCTGTAGATATAAATAGATTCTAATTAGAAATTTAATAAATTATGGAAAAATAGAATGAAACTTAAGATGTCTAGTTGAAATAAAATGAGATGATTAATATTTAATAAGATTTTGCTTTAACTAGTAATAGATCATAATTATCTGTTCCTATTACAGAACCAACTTAAATTCAATAAAATAATTAGATTAATACAAACTTTATAAGAGTAGAAGAAGAGATTGAAGCTGGGTAGCCAGATATTAGAATAATTGAAAATGCAACAGGAATTACAGAATGTAATCTATAATATTCTGAAGATACAGCAAATTTAAGAATTCCTACTTAAATTAGTAATAATGAAGAAGCCAAATTTAAACCAGATTCTTATGTAACATGTGAAATTTAATTCTAATAAATTAAATAGGATTATCAATAATTAAATTAATTATAATCAACCTAATCAAATTAGATGAATTAATCATCTTTTGAATAATGGTTATCATAAACTGATTAAAATAAACGAATATTTAATTTTAATTGTTAATCATAATATTTTTAAAAAGAGAAATGTGATCATAGTACATAAATTAATAAAAGTGAATCAGATTCAGATGAAGAAATTCAGTTTATTAAAAAAAAATAATAAAAATGTCAATTTAATTAAGGAGTAACATTATTAGTTAGAAAAATTACTTCAATTTTAAAAATTAGACAGATTAAATCATTTTATGAAATTAAAGAGTATACTCTACATTAATAATAATAATAATAATAATAACAATAATAATAGTTACAATAATACAAATCCTCTTTACATACTTATCAATCTCCAATAGAATCATAATATTCATCTTAGTTTTATTCATAATAATAATCATAAACATCTCTTCCCATGCCTTCATCATAAACTTAATAATCTTAAATTGATTTCGTTCCTTAAGCTACCAAAGAATAGGCTGCTTAAGAAAAAATATCAAATCTCTTAAAAACGATAATTGAAGAAACAGGATCAGATACATTAAGAATGTTGAAGAATAAATCAAATTTATCACCAGTTGCTAAGACTTCAGAAAAAAAAAGATTAAATAGCAGAAACAATTCTAAATTAAGGATTTCCAAAAAATGTTCAACTGCTTCAATATTAACATCAATATAATCTCCAGTTTAAGAAATTAATGATAGAATTAAAGTTAATTTTATATAAGAGATGGGATTAGAATCACCAACTTAGAAACATACTGAACATGCAGAATTACATGATTGCAGTAAATATTGATGATTTTATTTTAGGTCCAATTGCTGAGCCTATGGAATTTTAAGATGTATCTGTTTTAATAAAATAAAGGAGAGAGATGAAATAAATTGCTGACTCAAATAATGGGAGCAACATAATAAATAATAGTTATAATGATTAAAGACATTGTTAAATTTTGTCTCATCATATTGCAATACAAAAAGCAAAGATTGCAAAAAAATTTCAGTAAATTCATTATAAAACAGCTGGACAACAGTAATTTAGAAAAGAAAATTATTAAATTTGATTATTAATAAATTTTATATATGAGATAAAAATTATAACTTAAAGGAGACAATTCACTTTCTTAATCAGCCATATAAAGAAGAAATTCAAATTAAAGATATAAATCTCCTATATAAGGAAGAAAATTATTTTTAAGTCATGTAATTTAGACTCCATTAAGTTAATAATATGGATAGACTCAGCAATAATAATAATAATAACAATAATAATAATAATAACAAATTATATAGGGAAGATCACATAGTTAATCAAATGTAGTATTTTAAGATGAAATTCCATAAAAATGGCCAATAATATAATTACCATTTTTAAAGAATACTGAGCCTACAATATTTTTTTAGTATCCACCAGTTTGTGAAGATAAAAGACCTTTAGTAAATGCAAGACCTATGACAGAAGAAGAAATTAAGAAATATTCATTAACATGTAAGGTATTAGGATCTGCTCCATATAAATGTGTATTAACATCTTTTGATTGGGCAGGTTTTAAAAGAATTGATGAAGAAGATGAAGATGAAGAATGGAATGTTTAATGGGGAATAGGAAATAAAACTACTTTAAGAAATATGAATAGATATTAGAAAATTAATCATTTTCCTGGATGTTGGAATATGGGTAGAAAAGATTTATTGTGGTTAAATTTAAGTAAATTTAAAAGAAAATACCCTAAAGAATATAATTTTATTCCAAATACTTATTTATTGTAATATGATTTTGATAGATTTATAATGGCTTAAGAATCTGCATAAAAAGATACTTTGTGGATTAAAAAACCATGTGCAGATTCTAGAGGAAGAGGTATAACAATGGTAAGCAAAAAGTCAAAGGTAAAAAAAGATAAAAACTTTTTAATAATGGATTATATTTATAATCCTCATTTAATAAATGGATTTAAATATGATTTAAGAGTATATGTATTAATATCATGTTTTGATCCTTTGAGAGTTTATATGTATAAGGATGGTTTAGTAAGATTTGCTACTCAGAAATATTCTACAAATTCAAAGGATCTAACTAAGAGGTATATTCATTTAACAAATTTTGCAGTGAATAAATTATCACCCAATTTTGTTAAGAATTAAAACACTTAAAAAGATGATGAAGGATCAAAGTGGTCTCATCATGCTTATAGAAAGAAATTAGATGAATTAGGAATTGATTCAAGAGAACTATTTAATAGAATTAAAGATGTAGTTTTAAAAACATGTATTGCAACAGAACCATTTATGTTGGATAGCAATGCTAAATCTCAAGAACATAGAAATGGGTATTTTGAATTATATGGATTCGATGTATTAATTGATGAAAATCTAAAACCATGGGTATTAGAGGTTAATGTTTCTCCATCTCTAAATTCTAGTTCACCTCTTGATAAAAAGATTAAGACTTCATTAATATCAGATGTGTTACATTTAGTTGGAGTACCTCTTTGGGATAAAAAGAATTACAAAATTGCATCTCCTCCAAAGTATAATTAAAGGAATATAAAAGAAATCCCAAATATCAATACTTCTAATTGTTTGAATAAATTATCATAGAATGATTTTAATATGCTTATTAATACTGTTGAAGAAGTAAAAAGAAGAGGAAAGAACTTTTCGTGTGTATTTCCAAATCCTAAAACAATTCACTAATATATGAATCTATTTGAATTTCCTAGATATAATAATAAACTAATTGAACGCTTTTATTAAGATAGATGTAATTGGTTGTCTAGATTTAATTGATTATAATATGAAATTCATTTGTTATCTATTTAATTAATATATTATCAAGTTAAAAATACTCGAACACATTCACTTATTTTAAATGTCTGTTTCGTTACTATACAATGCACATATCCATTCTATTATTCACTCATTTATAATAATGATTTTTAACTATAAACTTAATTATTAGGTAACATCATTGGTGGATTATTTTCATCCATTAGTTCTCCTGATATTCTACAAATCCAAGTTGATCCTAACTTTTATGTTGTCAACAAATCCTTTGATAATTCTTACATTTATTTATTACAAATAGGACATCTATTCACTTATTAATAATCAATTTAATCACAATATTATGTTTTTAATGTTGTAATTCCACATTTTAAAAAGCTTAATAAAGGTGATTCTTTTGGAAAACAATAAACATCATATAATTCTTATTTAAATTATCTAATTAATAAATCCCATCTTTTATCATCGAAATATTATTAGTATTAAGGAGGCATTGTTTTTTATTTTATAAATAACAAACATCCCATACATTTTTATATACTCTCTTAATTCATATAAATTTGATAATCTCTTATGTAATTCAATGCAATATCTGCATCTTATTTCAAATATTCAATATACTATTAAAATACTAAATCATTTTAAAATGAACTATTCAATTTTTTTAATTTACTAGAATTCTATTGATACCATTTAAATGCATATTTTATAGATTTACTTTTCAAATCTTTAATTATTGTATTAGCCTCTATAATAATTTCTTATTCAAAACTTGTTAGATTCTTTTTATAATATTTTTTTATAATACTTGGATTTAATAAGATTATATCAATTTTTATGCTGTTTTGAAATATCCTTCTCTTAATAGATTATCAATTAATGATCTTTGCAACTTTATTTCATTTCCACATTCTTCACATTTTAATCTTTAAAGATAAGATTCTACATATTGTTTTTCATGTTCTTAATTTTCATGTAATGCCTTCTAAATTGAACGAATTCTTTCTATTACCAAATCCGCCTTTTCTGATGAATTAATATGAGCAATCTAACTTAAGGTAATTGTTAAATCATGTTCTAATTATTTTCTTGTGCTCTTAAATTCTTATACTTTATAAGTATTCATACATTTAACAATGACTTCGAATGGTAATCTAATATATGAGTAATCAATAGATTATTCAATAGCTAATGACATTTTATATTTTATTTAAAATAACAATAAGATTATAAGATAAATTTAGTCATTTTTATTATATATAATATATAAAATACATACTAAAAATCAATCAGATTACTTTTTCTTAATCTACCACACTTTCTAATTCTATCTATAAATATATTAAATAAATAATTTTACTCAGTTAATTTAATCAATGGCTTTTTAAGAATTAAATAATAACTAAGTCCAAAACAAACAGTCAACAAAGCCACAATATCATAAGATAAAAGAGACAATGATAAAATTGATAATGACTCGGTTATCTATAATTTATTTTTATAATATTACTGCTCCTCCTAAATTATGAATACTATTTATCAAAGTTAAAGAGGTTGCTCCAACTTAAGGATCACTTATTCTATTGAATAGAGTCCCATGATTTATAAATATAGAGTTCGATAACAAACTTTATGTAATTCCAAAAAATATCTAGAATATTTAATTATTAGAGTACCAAATATAGATATTAATATATTGATTCATAACTTAATATATCTGGAAATAATTTAAAAATAGAGTATGTCAATATTGCTTCTCCAATTCTAAATATTAAATAATGAAAGAATTTCTATAATTCATTTCCTCTTTTGTCATATTTTCCTATTAAGGCAATTATTATAAAATTTATAGGAATCATTATTGTTTGGATCCATGCCATCACTTCTTTTTTTAATCCTTGAGCAATTAGTAAAGATGCTATTCATCAATTAATAATAATAATACAAGTGGATGTTAATATTGGTTAAAAACATAATCTAAATAATATGAGATGTAAAAATAAAAATTATAAATTCCTATTTAAAACTAATTCTTTAAGGTTTCTAAATACAGTTTTAATTTGATGTTATTCAATTTCATCTATTGATTCCTCTTTTGATTATTCTTTTGTACAAAATTATACATATAATGTAAGAGCAATCAAATATAAAGCATTAATTAAACAAAATAGATCTAATGATAGAATTCCAGTTTCTTATGGTAAAGTGTATATGTATGAATTACAAAAGTCTTTTGAATTTAATGTTATGAATATAGTTGTACTGAATATCACTCCAATCATTTAACCAACTGTTTATGCAGTTGCTCCTAAGTGATTATGTTCAGAACTAAATGCAGTAAGAACCCATCCATCAATTGCAATATCTTAATGAGCTGAAAGTAAAATCAAAATAAAGCCTATAATAGTTAAGAATTCAATATTATAAACCCAAGTTGAGATTTTGGTGAAATATAATAGTGTATAAATTATTGCCATTAGATATTGAATTGGTATAATATATGTTCTTCTCTTTCCAATAGATTTAATGTAATAAACATCTAAGAATGGGGCAGTTAGCATTTTAAATGAAAAGGGATAGATAGCAAGAGAGAGTATTGCTATAATATTTATTGATAAATTAATACCTAAATTTGAATAGGGTACACCATGTTCAAGTAAAATCATCATTAATGTAGATGACCATAATCCTAAAGGAATACCCTATACAAAATAGAGAAATATAAACAAGATGAAAGTGTTTTTATCTTTTGATGATATTTTTGTCATTAATTAATTTAATAATCTATGGGATAAGAATAATCAGTAATAATTTATTTATAATCTAAGAATCTGCCTTCAAATAACTTAGTTGTTTAATTACATATGTAGAATTATGAAAAGTTAACAAAATTAATAGAATAGAAATTATCTGATTAAACATTTACAATTGATAAAAGAATAAATCAAGTATGAAATAATGGATCTTTTAATTAGATGGATGATACTCTTCTCTACTATGCAGCATTTAAAAGAGATAAAAAATTAGTATAATATTTACTATAAAAAGGAGCATCATCTAATTGAAAAAATTCGGTAAGTAAATATTATATGATATATAAGAGAAATCTTATGCCTATAGATGTTACAGATGATCAAGAAATAAAATTAATGTTAGAGAGTAAATGAGAATTTAATGAATCACACAAAAATAATAAATAATTAATCAAATTATAAAATAAATATTAAAAATTAATATGAGCGCTAAAAAGAATACAAATTAATTTGAGAAGGATTCAGAAGAGGAATAAATCTAAAAAAAAGTTAAGAAAAATGAAGAGTAAAAGAAAGATAATGATGAATAGAATTCTGATGAATTTGAAATTGACTCAGAATAAGAGGAAGATGAAGAAATTGAAGAAGATGGTAATTAATTCTAACAATTTGTTAGGTATCTAAACTTCTTCGCATTCCAGCATAGATTTATAAGCTTATTTATAATAAAGAGACTAAATTCCTGATAGTGATGATGATGAAGAAGAAGAAGAAGATAATGATAATAAACAAAATTAAAAGAAAAAAACTCAACTTAAATAATAAAAAGTATCTAAAAAATAGTAGGATGATGATGAAGATGAAGATGATGAAGAAGATGATGATGAAGATGATGAAGAAGAAGAAGATGAAAAACCACCTTAAAAGAAATAAAAAGTTTAATAATAATAGAAATAAAAAAAATAAAGATGATTTTTTCATTAAATTTATTTATTTTTATATTGCCTTGAAATAATAGTTCTTTAAATTTAGCAATAAATAATGTTATTTTGTTTTTAATAATCATTCATATTAATTCAATAACTATTATTAAATAGCATAGTGTTTAATATTCTATTATTCATCTACATCTCTTAGTCTCTATTAATAATTGGATCGTAAATGATTAGGTACTATTTGTTCAACACCTCCCCTTTATTCTCCAGTTAATATATTAAACCCAGTATTTCCTCTTGCGTCTAAATTATGAGCCCTCACAAATTATCTCACTTTGGCTTTGTCATCGTATTGTCTTAATAAATTGCCTTATTCGCTGTTATCATATTTTAAAGTAATTGGATTATAAGCAAGCCTGAACAAAACAATAAATTCCTCATTTACCCATTTGAATTTCTTTTCCCTTGAGTTAATTATTGAGTGTGACTCATTAATTTTACTTAATCTTTTGTTTCCACCTTCTCTTAATAATCCCATTTTCTAGTTTCTCTATCTAATCCCTCCAATCTCTTTCTTTCAACAATCTTCTCTCTTTACCAAACTTCATGTTCTCTTTGCTTCTTATCTGCTACTGCAAAGTCTTTATCAAATCTCTCATTTTCTAATATTACTCTATCTATACCTGGAACATATAAAGTAGACTAAGGAGGTGCTTGATGTATCAATGTTCCAACTCCTAATCCTCTAGCCTCAAATCCAACTGTTTTATTATTGTAGGTATTAATTACCTCTCAAATCGATCCTACTCTTCTCTATTCTATCCTTATCTCGTAAAGCTTCCTAATTATCAAATAAATTTAAGTACTCTTTCTTATCTTGTCCTAGGTTATATGTTTATCATTAATATAAAAAATTATTAACGAATATCATATGGGAGGATCTTTATGTAAAACTGACAACAGAACATCTAACAACGAAATTGCAACTCCTTCTAATAAACCAATATACCAAAATCTTGAAAATTTGAATGCTAAAAGTGAATAAAATACATCAAATAAGGAATTCAGAGCCCAACTTTTGAAACCAACTATCCAAATTCAATAGCAATAAGTTTAAATTCCTGTTATACATAATGGATTAGTGAAAGATAGGCTTGCTTAATTGGGTGAATATTAAATTCCTTCCTCGATTACAAATGAAGGTTTAGATGTTACGCCTCCTTTCTAATTTGATGAAGATGCTATCTATCTTGGAGGCTTAAAAAATGACATATTTCAAGGATATGGAGAAATCTATTGGGATGATGGAACTCATTACTGCGGCGAATATAATGAAGGAACCAGATGTGGACATGGCAGATTGATATACCCTGATGGTGATGCATATGTATAATAACTAATCTTAATAAGGAAGGTGACTGGCTGGATGATAAATAACATGGATAAGGAACATATTATTATTCAGATGGAGGTGTATACATTGGTAGATTCCTATATGATTTGAAAGTAAATTTTATTAAAATTATTTCTTTTTAGCATGGTGAAGGCAAAGAGACTTTGGCTAATGGAGAGACATATGAAGGAGATTTCTAAAATGGAACTAGACATGGAAAAGGAAAACTGACAATGGCTGATGGTTTATTTGAAGGATTATTTGAGAAAGGTTAAATGATTGATGGAGAATACAATTGGAATGACGGAAGAAAATATAAGGGTTAAATATAAGGGATGAAAATGCATGGCCATGGAGAATTTTGGTTTCCTGATGGAAGATAATACAAAGGTATATCGTTTTCAAATAATGTTAGGTTTTTGGGTTGAAGATTAAAAGGAAGGATAAGGAGAATTCCATTTTTCTAATGGATCAGTTTATATAGGAGGATGGAAAAATAATAAATAGAATGGATTAGGTAAACTCACAGATAAAAATGGAGTAATAATAAATGGCTTTTGGGTTGATGGTAATAAGATAACATGAATGTAATAATTGTATTTTATTAACTTAATTAATAAAATCAATATTTGATTATTATTTCATCAATTTAAATATATATAAATTTATATAGATTAATTAAATAATTAAGTTTAATTTGTTTGACTTTAATAATTAATTCAATATCTTCTCTTTGGTGTATCATAAATTCTACTCTAAACAAAATTTATCTCTTCTTCTAATGCTCTCTCTCTTTCCTTTCTTTCAATTTCAGCCTCTAATTCTAATCTTTATATTCTCTCCTAACTTCTTTATCTTTCATATTCTAAATCTCTTTCTATTTTCTCTAATTATCTACTTCTTTCTAAACTTCTACGTTAATTTTCTAATTGCTAAATTCTCAGTTCAGAATCTCTTAATTATTCTATTCTTTCTCTACTCTGTCTCATTTCTTGTATAGTGCGTTCCTATTCTCTACTATTTCTTAAGGCTTCCATTTGGTCTATTCTTTCTCTACTCTTTTTCAACTCTTATATTCTTTCTTAACTTCTTCTCAAATCCATTCCATCTCTTTCTTTTTTTTACAATTCTAAGCTCTCTTAATAATTTCTTAATTCTTCCATCTTTTTTCTTTATTTTTTAAGCTCTTCAATCCTCTCTCTAGATTTTTTTAATTCTTCCATTTTATCATAATTTTTCCTCTCATATTCCATTTATTAAAGTTTTTCTCTACTTTTTCTTAAATCTTCAAGACGTTCTCTACTTTACCTTAATTCTGCAATTTAAGCCTACCTTTCTCTACTTTTTTTTAATTCTTCTAATTCTTCTATTTTTTATCTACTTTTCTTTAATTCCTCCAATTAATTTAGTCTCTCTCTACTTGATTTTAATTCCTATAATATTTCTCTACTTTTTTTTAAATCCTCTAAACTTTCTCTACTATTTTTAAAATCTTATACTTTTTCACTACTATATTTGAGTTTTTCCATCCTTTCTCTGCTATTTTTTAATTATTCTAACCTTTCTCTGCTTTTTTTGAGATCTTCCATTCTTTCCCTACTCTGTCTTAATTCTTCAAGCTATTCAACTTTTTCTCTACTTTTTCTTAATTCTTCTAAATATTCTCTACTTTTTTTGAGTTCTTCAATTCTTTCTCTGCTTCTTTTAAGATTATTAATTTCTTCTCTTTCTTTTTCTAATTGTATTATTTTTTCTCTACTCTTTCTTAATTCATCTACATATTATCTTTCTTGCTAAAAATAATCTGGAGTAAAAGTTATAGCTTCTAATAATTCAGAATAATTGATTTTTCCATCTGCATCTTAATCGACAACCCTAAAAAAAGCAATTAAATCATCAAAGGACAATCTAATTCCGTTTTATTTCAAAAAGTTTTAAAGTCTAAAGTAAATATAAAATTATCCTACGTTTCAATTGTAATGTATCCTAAAAATGCTTGATCAATACATCTAAAAGCATCAAGAGAAGTAAAATCTGCACATCCAGTCAAAATTTCTTAAGCAGTAGAAATTGAGCTATAATAAAAAAGACAAAAAATACATATAATTTTTAATTTCTTAGTAGAAAACTTTAGAAAGTCCCCATTCGACTTCAGTAGGTAATTAATTATTAATTTTATTAGAAGAGTACTCTCTTTAGGATACAATATGCCTTAATCTAGAATCTTCTTTAGGTAATATAAACTAAATAAAACTAGACTTATAGAAATATTGGCTTACTCTGGATATGTGATTCTACCATCTTTATTCTAATCTAATTTCTAAAATAAATATTCAGCTTAAGAATTAGATGCATTTATTTTGTTTTCTAGTAAAAAATTAACCAAATCTGAAACTGTTAATTGTCCAGTTTTTTTGTAATCTAATCTTTTGAATGCTGTGTAGGGTTCAAACATATTTTATTCAGCCAACACTTATCTGAAAATTTCTGTTTTCTTCTCCCCTTCAGCTATGGTAGTAATTAAATTGGCTAATCGTAATTAAGTTTTTTAAGAGAGGTACATGATCAATAAAATTTTATTATTCTTAAAATAAAAATTAAATGCTGTGCTTTGTCAATTCAATAAAATATATCAATTAATTAATTAATTAATGAAATTCATTAAATATTCATTTTCCATAGCTGCTAAGTATCGTTCTTTATCATTAACTTGTTTGTCAATTTAAGATTTTTAATTATGAAGATTATCCTTAACTATTATATGAATTTTATATGACTTGTAACTTTAAATTTATTATTCATAATTACTTTAATAATTCTTGAGAGAGCTTTACTCTAATGGAAAGTGCAATTTATAAAGCAAATGAACAATGTTTCACAGTAGGTTTCCAATAAATTGTTATTCTTTAGCCTTCTATATTAATAAATTCTTTTTAGATAACATCTAATTGTCCTAATGTTTGAGGTATTTCTGGATCTCTAATATTATAAATAATATAATAGATGTCATCAATAATATTTTGCATTATTTAATTATTTATAATACCGTTAATAATTTGATTATGAAATCTCAACCATTGTAGTAAATTAACTTAAATACCAAGCACTTGAAAAAGAAGAGTATTAATGGAAGAAATATATATGAAATTGGGGGTAAATATAATTTTAATTAAAGGAACACAATTTGTGGTCGATGAGCGCTATGAATGTCATAAGCAAATAGGACATGGTGCTTATGGAGTTGTATGTTCAGGTGTTGATTTAATTAAAAATAAAAAGGTTGCGATTAAAAAAGTATTAAAGTTCTCATTATTAGGTTTAAAATGCATTTGAAGATTTAATAGATGCAAAACGAATTGTGAGAGAAATTAAGCTACTTTAGTTTTTTTAACATGAAAATGTTATCAGCTTAGTTGATATTTTAAAACCTGAATCAAGAACTGGATATAATGATATTTACATTATAACTGAACTAATGGAAACTGATTTACATAGAGTAATCTATTCTAGATAAGAATTAACTGATGAACATATTCAATATTTTATGTATCAAACACTTAGAGGATTACTTTATATTCATTCAGCAAATGTAATGCATAGAGATTTGAAACCAAGCAATATTTTAGTCAACAAAAATTGTGATTTGAAAATATGCGATTTAGGGTTAGCTAGAGGTTTTGAAATAGAAGATGAAAATAAAACAGAGTAATCATCTATTATATATTTATTAGATATGTAGTTACAAGATGGTATAGAGCACCAGAAGTAATACTTTAAGCTTCAGAATATACTAAAGCAATAGATATTTGGAGTGTTGGATGCATTTTTGCAGAGCTTTTGGGGCGTACACCTCTATTTCCAGGAAAGGACTATTTAGAATAAATTTAGAGAATCATTGCTGTTTTAGGAACACCATCAAATGATGAAATGAAATATATTACTAATGAAGGTGCAATAAAATATATTAAGTAATTCATTATTAGATTTTTAGATCTTTACCTAAAAGAACTAAATAAAATTTCAGTACTTTATTTTAAAAAGTTAATCCAACATGTTTAGATCTTTTATCTAAGATGCTAACTTTTAGTCCTTTTTAAAGATATACTGTTGAATAATGCTTGAATCATCCATATTTTGATGGATTGCATTCCAAAGATGATGAACCTCTTTGTGATTCTGTTTTTGATTGGTCCTGGGATAAAATGGAATTAAAGAAAGAAATATTATAATCTGCCGTATATGATGAAGCAACTTAATGGTAATAAAAGCACAAAATAAATTCTAAAAAGTTTTGACCAATATATAATACATCACTTTTGTAATCATCATTACAATATTATTAAATAAATATTAACATTTTCTTCTTTGGGAATGGATCCAAAATTCTAATAAAGTTTTGATTTTGATTTTTAAATTTAGTTCTATTACTTCAAAGAGACTTGATAAAAATTATAAAATGAAAAAATAATTTTAAAGAATCTTTATTAATGATGGTTTACAAAATAATTCATTATTGTTATTTGGTTGATGATTTAATAGAATTTTAGGATAAATTTTGTCAATGGTTTGCTTTAGAGGCAGAATCAGCCAGTAGTTATAAAATTAAAAAATTGATTCAAAATATATTCAAAGAATACCATTAAAACTAATTATTGAAATATAAGGTGAAAATATGATAAATTATATAGGTTATAAAATTTAGATTATTCATGGAAAATAATTTAGTTGATAAAAAGACGAAGAATTCATTGAGATAATTTGGAATATTATTTAGACTTTAGTAAACTAATTTAATATTTACAAGGGATCATATAAAATATAGAGACAAGTTTCAAAATTTAAATTTATAAATATGATTTTAAACATCTAATGATACAGAATTTAAATTAAATTAAAAAGAAAATTTGTATATTACCTGATAATCATTAAATAATAATAATAAAATTATTAAATAAAGAAAATTAATTAATTAATGTCATCCAAAAGTTATGATCGATAAAAAATATTGAAGGTTGAAGTTAGTGTTGGTCTGACAAAAGAGTAGTATGAAAAAAAATATTTATTTCATCGTTTAAAAGAGAGATTTTTACATAGCTCTGATTTATCATTGGAGACAATCACTCCTGAAGGACATGAAAATATTTATATTCCTATGGATATTTAGACTCCAACTTAAGCTGATGGTCTAAGTTATGAGGATGAATAAGCCCTCAGAATGCATGGAGCTTAAATATGTTTTCAGGCCTGCAATCACTTAAAATTACCCTTAACCACAGCAATTACAAGTTTGGTTATTTATCATAGATTCTTTGCAAAGTAAATAAATGATAATGAGCATTAGGAATTCTTTTGTTGATTATGATTACCGTGAAATTTCAATGGCTTCTATTTATTTAGCAGGCAAAGTAGAAGAAACAGTGCTAAAAACTTGGTATATTGCTAGTACTTTTAGCTCTGTATTTTAGAAATAAAAATAAACACCGTTGTAAGAATGATAAAGATATTAAATAGGGATATTATAATTAAATAGGAAAAATTAATACTTAGGGAACTTGGGTTTGAATTATTTAGAGTTTCAGATCATCCGCACAAGTTCATAGAATCATTTTATCATTTTATTAAGGTCGATAAGCAGGTAGCTCAAAAGGCATGGTGTTACTTGAACGACTCATACATGACTGATTTATGTGTACATTTTCCACCTTAAGTTATTGCAGCAGGAGCATTGTATTTAGCATTGAGGATCTGTAATCATCCTATGCCTACTTAACCATGGTGGATTCTATTAGAAGCTACTTTGGATTAAATTGAGTAAGTGGCTGCAACAATATATAATATTTATGAATTCGAAAAGATTGATTTTCGATAAGCCAGAAGAATTTTAGCAAAAGCCAATAGAGTAGCTTATGTAATATAACATAGTGAAATTTATGGTATTCCAGAAAAAATAGAAAAGCCATTAGAAGCTATTAAATAAATCTCTTAATAATCATAATAATAATAATAATAATAATAATAATAATAATAATAATAATAATAATAATAAGAATAATAAAATAATAAAGTAGAATAATAAAAATCACCTATTGATAAGAAAAGTATGAAAAAAAAAAGTAAGTCTATTGAAAAAAAAAGTAAGGATAAAAAAAATAAATCTGAGAAAAAGAAAAAGAAAGACAAAGATAAAAAGAAAGAAAAAAAAGATAAAAAAAAGAAGTAACTATATATTTACTATATTATTAGAAGTAGATCTAGAAGCAAGTCAAATGAAAAAAAATAATCAAAAAAAGATAAGAAGAAAGATAAAAATAAAAAAGATCAGGATATTTAAGATAAAATTAAAACTAAAGATTCCGAGATAGTAATCTAATAGGATAAAAATTAAGTTGAATCCAAAATGGAAATTGAGACACCAAATGATTGCAATAACAATATAAAAAGCAACAATAATAATATCTAGTAATCAAGCACAGGTAACGAATAAAAAAAGGATGACTAATTGTGCCAAATACCTATTGTTGAATAGACAAATAAAGAACCATATCCTTAAGCATAACATGTTATTAATGACGTTTAGTAGCCACAATAATTGCATGATGAAAAAGAATAATTGAAAGTGTAATTGCCTTTATAGAGTAAATAGGATTTGATTGCTTCAATAAAAGCAATTCTAAAAACTTAATAATTATAGAAGGAGAAAGAAAAAGATTAAGATAAAGAAAAAGAAAAAGAGAAGGAAAAAGAAAAAGAAAAGGAAAAGGATAAAGATGAAGAATAGTCTCCAGATGAATAAGATTCAGAAGAATATGAACAATTAAAAGCACTTAAACTAAAAAGTAACTTTACATTAATTTTTTTAGTGTTAGCAAAAAAGCGAAACGAATGATGAGCTCTGTAATATAAATTTAAAGAATATATATATTTAAGCTATCTTTATATCAAATTATTTTATTTAACATATTTAATTCTAATTATCATCCATCTTACTATTTGAATAAGATTTATATATATTTCAATTTTTATTCAATCAATCATAAACATTTTAAAAAATATATTTAATTTATTATTGAATGACTGAATAAAAATGTAGATAAAATGAAATTAGAAAGATAATATAATTAAATAAACAAGGAGATATCCTGAATCAACCTTTCATTATTTTATTTAAACCTATTATATTATCTTGATATTATTTGATATAATCAATATTTAATAGAAAAATAATTGATAAATAGAAAGTTAATAATTATTCTTAAACGAATGCTTATAATATGTTATAATTAGAAATAATAATAGTATGCTTTTTCTTATTAATTTAATAAAATAGAATGTTAGATGAATAGATATCAATTTTAATTTTATGTGAAACTATAATTAAATCAAATCTAAATTTTATGACTCTATATAGTATTATTTATTTATTCATTATATTTAAATAAATAACGTAGAATAAATATATATTTATCTTTAATTGAATAAAATTAAAAAAATACAATAATAATTTAAGTTAATTTAATATTGGTATTAATTTAAGTTTTGTAAATTCTTATTGAAATAATTTAATATGAATTATTTTGAAATGATATGTTTTTATCTCGATCTTTTAAATGAACAAAAGGTCCTTCTAGAAAGTTGCTAAAAATTTAATATTTGGTTAGAATGAAAATTTATTAATAATATTATTATATATTAATCAATAATGAAATAATTCTGCTATAAATCCTTTAAATAGAATATCAAAAATAAGATCGTCTGCCTGATTATTTAATTAAGTTGCTAAATCCAAACAGAAAATGATTCTTTGGATTATATTTTAGTAAATTTCTTATTTAAGTTAGAAATCAGAATATTGTTTTTCAATTTGCTCAATCTCATTTTATAGATAAACTATTATATGAATTTTATTTTATTAACTATTTTTACCTGAAAAGCAATGAGCTTTAAGTATTTATTAAGTTGGTACTTTCCAGAGTTTATTAAAGATTTTTTGCATAAAATGTGTTCGAATTGATTTTAGATGAACATCCCATGATTCTAATTTAGAGATCATAAATTTATGCTATTTATTTCCTTTAATTCTAATTGAATGATTAATTTTTTTTTAGTTTTTATCATTAATTTTAGGAACTTATATAATTTAAAGATATATACTTGACTTAAATTTATTCAATTAGTATTTATTGGCGTATTCTAATATTTTAGAAAACAAATCAGAACCTCCAATTACTTTACTTTTGATTGAACTCTTAAATTCAAATAAAATGTCATATTATTATTACATTGAAATTGGTTTGAATTATTATGTTTATTATTGCCCTGTAGTAAATTAATCTTCCATTTCCATATTATCAATAAATGAGAATTCTTATCTTAATAATATGGTTATAAATACCAATAGGTAACCATTTATTCATCTCGAAATCAATATCAGAAAATGCAAAGTTATTAGTGTCACCGAAATTAATATATTCATCTACAATTGAATGTTCTTCTGGTATTCGAAATTGATCAGCTTAAAATATGCTTACTTCTGAATATTATGTCATTCCATTTAAATTATGATTTACCAACAATAAAAAAAAGCAAATTATTTGCATCAAAGTAGCTGAATCGAGCTTTTTCCCTTTTTTGCAATCTTGACTTTCTTTTAAATTTAGCATGTTATTAATTATAAAATAAAAATATTTTCTAAAATCATTTTAAAACTTAATAAATAAATAAGGTCTTCTTATATAATTATAGTAATAATAATCTTAATTAATTTTACAATTATTTAGAGTTAAGCAATAACTAATTTATAATATAAAGATGCCTTAATAGTTCAATATTAAAATAAATAATAATTTAATAATCAAATTAAACAAATAATACTTAAAATAAACATAAAAATTATCAATGAATTATATTCTAATTAAAGAAATAATAAGTTATATTTATATTTATAAATCTTTTTCTTTCAAGAGATTATATATAATAATTATTAATATAATGATTATTCTTTAATATTTACATAATTTAATGGATTTTATTTAAAGAGTTAAAACAATGATCTATGATTTAATAACAATAATTGAATGATAAATATTTAAACTAATTCTTTTTTTCATTATTATTAACTTTTAAAGTGTTCTTTAACATCAAATTTACAATTTGGACATTTACTTGCCTTTTAAAACCAAGGAACTATACAATCTTCATGAAATATATGATTGCATGGCAACTTCATTATGATTTCACCTTGGGAATTAAACCTAATCAATACCTTTGACAAAATCTTTAATGCAAATTGAACAATTTTTTGATGATTTTCCCATTTTCATTTTTTTGATTTATCCTACAAATTATTCTTCTAATTTATTTTCTTCATTTTTCATATCCTCTTATTCAAACTCAAATCTCTCAAATTCCTCAGACTAAATATCTTAAATTTCATATAATTACAATTAATTTATTAAAGGTTTCAAGTGACATTCCCTAAATGGGGCATTCTTAATTAATGTATAACAGTTACAATCCATCTTCCCATCATGACGATATCCATTATTGTATACGGCAGCCCATTCATTATTCCAATCGATAAAATCAAGATTATATTTCCCGGAAGGATTTATTTTAATTGGGCGATCATTACCTTTCATTTTATAAAATATTAATAATAATGAAATAAAATGATAATATACTATTTATGAATTAATTTTTTCTTTTCAACCTTATATTTTAATGATTGATTTTTTCAATTAAAAAAAATAAAGATAATTGAAATATATGATTGTAATTATGAATTCTTTGAAATAAATAGAATATAAAAGTGTACTTTAATATTAAAATTCATAAATATATTTGATAACACTATTTTCAAAATAAAAAATGAATCTGACTGATAACTGTAAGTAGATTAGTTTATAATAAAACTACTGAATAAAATATATGTAATGATTTTCAAATATATTCTTATTTAATCAGAATTTAGAATATACTTTAGTTATTTTTATATATAATTATATAATTTGAAGATGACAGAAGAGTTTTTGACTTGTGCTAAGATTATTGAATTTTTCTGGTTACTTCTAGCATTTGTTTTCTTCTTTTTTGCAGCTTATGCAAAATTCAGATTGAAAAAGGATATTCATTTAGATATTGAGAATTTGAATTCGAATCATACAGCAGTTAAATATTAAGTTCCATCTTAATAAGGAGATGCATAAGAGATTCATATGGTAGATTAGAATGTTTAAAGTTCTGGATAGTTATAATCAATGACTTTATAAAATAGAGAACCACCTGTATGTTTTAAAATAAATTTTAGACAAAATTAGAAGAATTTTACAAGAAGTCACTAATTATTACAAGTAGAATATTTCCATAATTGGCAATTGTTATAATTTGCATTTTAAATGGGGCAAGTTATGCTTTTGCAGTAGCTTGTGTTATATTATACTTTGTTTCTATCATTCTATTTAATATACTTTAAATTTAAGATTGTTTAGGGTCTTAAGGAATGAAAAGTATTTTAAATTTATTATATTTTGAGATATGTTTAAGTTGTCAAATAACATTTGGTTAGTTTGTCTATTCATAAATTATTTAGCTAGTTCATTATTTTGATTTTTATGATATATATATATATATAGAAAAGTTTTAGATATAATTAATTAAATAACAAGAATCTTAAAAACATATCAACTTTTGTATTTAGTGTACCAAACCTATTATTTTTTATCAAAGGAAACCTTTTTTATAGATCTCTATGATCCAGCTGAAATTGAAACATTTGAAACATCTTATCCACTCTTATTTTTAAGAATAGGTTTTTATCTGGAGGTTTCAGCAAATGAATTTTTTTGATCAAAAGAATTATTTAGATTACCATTGTTTGAATTATTAATATCATCATTTTTTACTTTGGATACATTGATGGCTTCAATTGCAAAGTTTTTTTTTATCCATGGATTTTATTATTAACTATCCAGCTCTTCAGATTATTAAGCTGTATATTAGATTTACTTTTCTATCTACTTGTGACTTTATTATTAGATTATTTCTTTTTTAGGAGATTCTTCTTTCTCAACTTATTCATCAAATATCAAAACACTAATAATGGGAGTTGGTTTAAATAAATGAGGTGGTCCATTTAATTTATATGTACGTTATGAAATTGTTTTTACTTCAACTTAGGTTTATTGGGTTCCTTTTACACAAATTGATGTACCCATCTGTATTTGTTATATTTAAATTAAGAAATAATAAATTGAATATTATTTATGAGATGTTTCTCAATTTTTATTTATAGTATTTTCTTAAAGAGATTTCTTCATTTAATTTTTGATTATTATAATAAACGCTATTTCTAAATTAATAATACATTTAATTAACTAGACTTAAGAGATTTATTACAATTAGATATCTTAGTTAATATTTAATAATTTTAGTTTTATAAATATTAGTCTATAAGAAAAATGAAAATGTTATATTTAATAAATACGTTTATGATTAAATAGACATTAATTTTATATGAATAATGATATAATTAAACATTAATTAATAGATTCAATGCTTTTATTCGTCATCAACTTCATATATGGCTTATTATCTTTATTAATTGAATTTCGAGTAAGTGAATTTTCTTTTGATAACACTTTATTAAATAAGTCGAGGACTATTACTAAAATTCAATCTTCCAGAATCAGGTGATTAAGTATCTGGTGTTAATGGATCAAAATCTTAAGTTGAAAACTTCTTAAAAACACTTTTCTTAGGAAATTCAGTTGGTGAATTTTCATTAAGAGCTAAGTTCTTTTTTTTTGCATGTTATGCTAATCTAGGACTATTTAAGGTTGGTACTCTAACTCTAGTGTTTTCTTCTTCTAAATTTTCATCATCTTTCTATCGAGATCTTTATTTGATTTCTGGTAATTATAATCTATCTGATTTTTCAGTTTTAAAAGTTGATGTTTACCAAGGTTTAATATTATTATTAACTTACTTTTTAGATGATTAAAATTTCTATTTTCTATCAATGAATGTTCCAGTAAAAAATGGATGATCTAATGCTTACTTAGCTGAAATCCTTTATTGTGGCACTGCTTATAACATTTAAGTTATTAAATCTATTGCTGATTATGGAGTTTAATAGATATTAAGAGTATCTAAATTTATTATACATTTCTTGTTTAATTTAAGTATTTCATGATAGTCATTTCCTGGAAATAAATCTTTAGATGTAATTCTAAGGATTAGGATAATAGTACAATTTATAGAATATACAGCCAACACTGAACATATCACAAATTTTATCATATTTAAAGGTAAGATCTTTGAGATTGGCAATTTCTGGTGCTACATATCCAGGAGTACCACATTTAGGAAAAGGATAGGTTACAGCTGTTTACCATGTTGCTAATCCAAAATCTACAATTCTCAATCCATTTATATCATTTAGTTTCTTAAACATAATATTTTCTGGTTTTAAATCTCTATGCATTATATTCAAAGAATGCATATGAGCCACTGCAGTTAAGATGGCCTAAGAATATTCTTGAATTAATTACAAACATGATAGACTTGATTTCATCCCAACCCAATTAAATAACTCCTTTAGAAATCAAATCATGTAGAGAAGTACCTTTTAAGTATTCTAAAATGATATAAAATGTATTATCTCCTTCATAAACCTCCTCCAATTTTACAATATATTCATGATTAAGTGCTGCCATCAAATTTATTTCATTAAATAATGCTTCCTAATTAGAATATAAACATAAATTTATACAAATCCTCCATCTTCTTTTAGATATTTCTTTTCTACATTTTTTGATGCGAATTCTTGTTTGTCACATTTGTCTATTACTAAATAAACCTAATTAATTATATATAATAGAGTACTCTTGAAGACCCTCCTCTTCCTAATTATTTCATAGGCAAATAGAAATCACTAACATCTTTATACATTACTCTATTTCTTAGTAATCTCTTTAGTTATTTAAATTCTTCAGAGTTACCATCAAAATACTTAACTTCCTCTTTGTATTCAAATCCCATTTGTGTTATTTTTTGTTTATCTTGGTTCCAGTAGATTTTTTATTCAAGATTGATTTGAAGAACATATTTCGGTTATTAGGAATTAAGTTCCTTTACTATTATTATCTATGAAATACTTGACTTAAGATCAAATAATCATCTATAACATACAAGAAGTATGTGTTATCTTATTGATTATGCTTACTTTGACAAACCATCTAGAATGATGCGTTTTCATACACAATGTCACTGATATTGTTCATATATTACGCTAAATTATATTAATTTAAACAGAATTAATATGGTAAAACATTTAAGAATTGCTTATTCATTCCAATAATTCACAACAAATACTTTATCATTTTAGTAATCATTTTAAGATTGTAATCTATAACCTATAATTAAAGGTTATTTCATTTATTTTGATAAATAACTATTTATTCAAAAATAGAAGATTTAATTCTAAATTACTCAACCCTAAAAAGAATTGAATAATGATTGAAATTATCAAAGTTTAACAAAAAGATCTAAATTACTTATTAGATTTATAATTAATCAATAAAAAACTATTAGAGAATAATAAATAAAAGTAATAACAATATAAATGGATAGAAAGAGTAAGGATAACTAATTTGTTTTCATTTTAATTAATTGACAATTATTTTATATAATAAATTTTGATTTCTTAAAATTAATTGTGAAATTAAGAATGCCATTTTGAATCATTTTTAATTTTCTTTCTTTAAGCTTTCACGTAAACGAATTCTTAATATAATATACAAAGTTACCTTTCTTTGGCTGATCTTTCCATATCTCCAATTTCATCACTTCCTAATCTATACATCACAAATAATATGACTCCTGCAAACCATCCCATATAAATGCAAAAATAAAAAGCATTTTTCAATCTTAATTCTCTTGATTATGGTTTCAATTCTTCATCTAACTTCTAACTATAAATTAAATATGTATATACTTTTAAGCTAATTATTCTCTTGTCAACTATGGACCTCTCTAAAAATCTTTATAATCTTATTTTTATCCCTTAAAATTGTATTTAGGAGGAGCATCTATTTTCTAACCTCCTTTTACTACATTTTCATAAAAATTCTTATAAATGTTCCTTAATTTTTACATTAATTATAATATTTATATATATCATTAATTTTTATTATAACTAAATGGGACAATAATGTTGTAATCCAAAAAGTGGTTATATGCCTGATCAAATTCCAATTAATATTTATTCTCCTGAATCAATGGATAAAGTGCTTTAAAGTTCAAAACATATTTTAGAAGAAGTCTGTTAAGATTTTGATGAAGATGAAAACAAATAAAATATAGTTGAAGATGAACATTTACCATCAGATGCAATGAAATTATAAGAGATTCCTAAATTAGATAATCAAAAAGCAGAATCTATTAGACAATAACTTGGCCCTATCAAACTTACTTTTAATTCTGAGTATCCCATTTATCCACCTGTATAAATTGTAAATTACAAACCAAATGGAGATATTGATTCAATAATCATCTATGAAGGTTAATGGTATAAATATAAACGAAATGGAGCAGGAACTCAATATTATCCTGATGGTTCAATTTATGAAGGTCACTGGTGTCATAATAAGCATGATGGATTTGGTAGAATTATTTATGCTGATGGAGAATATTATATAGGAGAATGGCGATTGGGTCAAACTCATGGAGAAGGCACTTTGGTTACTAAATAATTAACTTATACTGGAAGATGGGAAGATGATTTATAAGTAAATTATATTATATAATCAGAATGGCTAAGGTTATGAAAAGAAAATTAATGGAACTATTTATGAAGGATTATTTAAAAATGGACGTAAGCATGGATCTGGTTTAGTAAAATATTCAGATAATTCTTAATATAAAGGAAATTTTGTTGAAGACCATTATGAGGGTATTGGAGAATACAAATGGAGTGATGGTAGAACGTATGGAGGAGAATGGAAAAACAATCTTATGAATGGAAAAGGAGAATTGAGATATCTAAATGGAGATAAATATATAGGTATTATAATTATATATTTTTTAGGACATTTTAAGAATGATAAAAAGCATGGATTAGGAAAATTTATTTAAGCAAATGGTAGATCAATTGAAGGTGAATGGTTGGAAGGTAAACTAAATGGAGAAGTAAAAATAACGGAACCTAATGGGGAATCATTTTAGGCAAGATTTAAAAACGATCAAATTATTTGAAGCATTAGATAAATTATACTTTAAGTTATAACAGAAATATAAACTAGCTATTTTTAAATATATATAGAATGTAAATACATATATATAATTTTAATTGACTTTAAATTTTTTAGATTTTTATAATTAACATTTATTGTTGAAAACCTTGCATATCAAACTATCAGATGAATGAATTTAATAGAAACAAGTTTTATATATTTTTAAGCATGTATTTATAAAATACTTACATTTAATAAAAAAAGGATGTCATGGAGATAAATATTGAATATTATATTTTAAATCCATTGGATTTTTGATTTAATAATGATAGGTTTTTAGTAATGTTATCTTAATAATTATTTAATATTAAACTATCTTTTTGATCTCTTAACTATTTTAAAGATTAATTTTAAATGATTAATGGAATTCATATTTGATTAATATTATTGAATTTTTTTGATTTATATCTAAGATTTTGAGATTGTTAAATAAATAATTAGATTTTTTAGAAAATGTTGTTATATTGTAGTGTTAGTTATCTTTTTTAAGTATATTTAGTTAAATCTGTTTAGAGTATTAAAAATATCATTAAATTTATTAATTCAAATTTGGATGAGCACCCTCTTTGTTAAATGTTTATAATGTAACCAAAGACCAGCAACAATAAAATGTCAATAGTGTAAAATAGGATAGGTTGTAAGATTATGCTACAGTTGTGATTCACAAGTACATAATAGATAAGGACCTATTAGTCAACTACATAAGACAGAAATCATTCCTTATTAAGGTAATAATGCAAATTTGAAATAATGTAGAAATGTATTAAAAAGCTCCACAATCAGCTGGATAAACTAATTAGGGAAATAAATTTGAAAATACTCAAATTGCTTAAAAAAAATAATAACCTTAACAGTCATAATAATCTTAGGGACAATTTAAATTTACAGCTACTACTAAATAAGAACCACCTTAATTTACTTAGAAGCCTGTTACAAATGTGGCAAAACCACTTTAATAACCTGCTACTAAGGAGATTAATTTTTCTGGCACAAGATCAAATAATAAACCAAGATATGATTAAAAAGAAGAAGAATAATACAATAGTTCATAAAAAAACTCTGTAATAAATCAAATATTATATTAATTAGGACTAAAAAGGGTAGTTAAACAATTAATTAAAAGAAGAGCAAGATACATGTTAACAACTTAAAAAAGAACTTAAATAAGCTTAAGATTAATTAAATTCATTAAATAAAGAAGTTGAGAAGAAGATGTAAATATCATTTATATAATTTTATAGCAAGGCATCTTAATAGGATCTTGAGAAAAAACTTAATGATTTAAAGAAGGAAGGAGCTGAAGAAAAGAAGAAGACTTAATAATTGACAGAGGATGTTAAGAAGTTGAAAGAATAATTAAAAAATGCTGAATAATAAACTTAAAAGAAATTAGATTAACAAAAAAAATAATATGAAAAATAAATGTTAGAAATGGAATAAACAATAAATGAGAAGCAATAATAAATTGATGAGATTGCTTAAGAATTTTAGAATTATAATTTAGAAGATATATAAGCTAAAATGGAAGAAATGGCAAATGATATCAATATGAAAGATTAGATTATTGAATAATTACAAACACAATTATAAAAAGGAGAAGGCAATTAAAATGATGGAGAAGAAGGTGATAAGGAAGAAATTATTCAGTAAATAGAGTAGAAGGATTAAGAAATTAAAAAATTAGAGGAATTGATTGAGAATTTTAAATAATTGTATTAACATATGTTAGATGAAAAATAAGTTATTATGGAAGAGAATGAAAAATTGGCAAATGAAAATAATCAATTCAGAGAAATATTTAGTGTATTATTAAAAATAAATTATATAGTAAAACTTACACTTGTTTGGAATTGATCCTAATTAATTGGAAGAAGAAGGTGAAGGAGAAGGTGAAGATGGAGAAGGATATCAACAAGAGGAAGGTATTTATTTAACTTTATTAGGTGAGATAATTGAAGAAGATGAGACCAATGATACATCTTGATATTAAATAGTATCATTTTCCAAATATATAAATACATATATCTTATATTATATTTTTTTATTTATATATATTTCCTGATCTTATAAATATTTTTATATTCAAATATATCTTACAAAAAATATATAATAAATTTAGAATAAAACGAAATGATATTAAATCAATAAAATATTACTGTAGCTCCTTAATTCTATTCAGGTACTTTATTTATTATAAGAGCTACTATTTTTTTATAGATATGAGTAGCTTATTGTTTTAAGTCGCATAAAAGGGAAAACACTAAAATTAAACTAAAACTTGCTATATGAAACCATCCTATTAATAAGTAATCATCAACTGACAAATTAAGTTAACTTCTATATGCATATACTAAAAAGAGCAATGTATTAAAGGCTAAGAAGGAATCAGCTACCAATATTTTATAGTACTCATATATGTTACTCAATGGTTTTAGTTTAAAAACATAAATTAAAAATATTGTTTAACTAAATGCAATTACTAAAGCTTACAGAGTTCCATTATATTCCATATAGACAATCAAAAAAATAAAAATTTATTTTTTAAATAGTAGAATTGTATTATATTATGTTACCCAAATATTTTAAGATTCAGAAATACCATCGAAAAGGGCTGAAAATTATTCCTTTTTTTATACAGTGCGTTCTTTGGAAAATGAGATCTATTTAGTAAACATATAGGCGAAAAATCCCATCTATAAACAAAAAACAAGTAGAGCAGCATAAGAATTAATGCTCAATATTACTGATGTTGTATTGAAGTTGATAAGCTAAATAAAAACAGAAAAGCTTATGTCATAATAATTAGACATAACCATTCTAAGTATTCCATTGTAATAAAACTCTTATTTGCTTAATCTAAGTAGATTTCTTATAACATAGATTACTTTTCCTGCATAATAACCAGATAATGATATATGATATGGGCCAATTCGATATAATATTTTTGTCATAAATTTTGCGAAAAAGTAACCAAGATAAAGGCCAACAAAGCAAAATATAGAACTTTAAAAATTTGTATAAAAATAGCCATTTATATCATCTGTTAGGAATTTTTCAGATGTTTACACAAATTAATTTTCATTTCCATCTAATAAACTAAAAATAGCACTTATTCCAGTGGCATTCATTATTGGCTATATAGATATCAATTTAAAAACTTCAAAATAGATATTTAAATTAGTAGGAAATTAGATGTTTACATATTTTATGTATGATAAATATTATAGTAAATCCATAAGATTCCAAAACATTTCAAAAGAGCCTGTCAAAACACATAGAGTTGACAATGCAATCATAAAATATATTATAGTATTTGTAAATGATTTTGCACTTTAAGATGATTCTAATACATTTTAAGATATCACAATTGGAGTTTTTAATTTAAGCTATTTTTCATTTTCAACAATTATAGTTTAATATTCTGAGACAATTGCAGTATTATTAAGAATAACAATTAGTATAGGATCAACAACGTTCTCATAAAATGTAACAGTAGCTAATACTGAAATAGTTTGAACATTTTAAAATTGCGGTTGAGATGAAAAATTAAACTCTATTAAGTATTATTCAAAGACTAAATTTGTGATATTCCCTTAGAAATAATGATTTGCATCAAAACTTTCATTATATTTGAGGAGCATAGGCTAATTAAAAGTAATTAAGACTTCTTCAACATTCTCTGGAAATTAAGTAATTAATTCAAGTTTCATTTAAGGAGAAACAGAATAAAAACATGTACCAACCATATTCAAAGTATTAATACAAACCCAATCTTTTTCAACTATGCAATTATCAGAACATCCATCACCATTATCAAGGTTTCCATCATCACAGCCTTCTTCATGTACATATAAACCATCTCCGCATAATGGTAAACATAAATTATTATCAAGATATCTTCCAATTTCACATGTATAGCATATGCCATTATTACAATCAATGCAATATGAATCGCAAACAAGTTTACAATTAATGCAAGAATTTGTAACTTATGTACCATCATCACATTATTCATTTCCAACTATCAATCCATCTCCACAATATGGAACACAAATGAAATTTTCTACTAACCATCCTAATTCTTTGCATTTATAACATTTTCCATCTATACAATCATCACATATTTCCTAACATTAAAAACTACAATCATAACAACCATCAAATTATTACTAGTTACCATCGTCACATTATTCATAAGGCGATATAACAATTCCATCTCCACATAATGTAAAGCACTAATTTTAAATCAAAGTCCATCCTTAAGTATTACATGCTTAACAAACTCCATTGTTACAAAATGTACATTCATTTTAACATTGAAATTAACAATTATAACAACCATCATATTGTATATCATTACCATCTTCACATTATTCATCTCCAAGAATTAGAAGATCTCCACATATTGGAATGCATTATTTATTTATTAAATCCCATCCAACTACACATGATTAACATTCACCCTCAACACAACTGGTACAAGAATCTTAACACTCAAAATAGCAATCATAACATCCATCATATCTAATATCATTACCATCATCACACTATTCATAACCAACAACAAATTAATCCCCACAAAAGGGTTGACATGTAAAATTAATAGAATTGACTTACCATTAATTGTTTTTACACTGAAGACAATATCCTGATTAACAAACTTAACAATTTTAATCACAAGAATATAAACAATTATAGCATCCATCAAATGGTTCTAAGTTCCCATCGTCACATTATTCATTTTTAGAAATAGCTTCATTTCCACACAAATCAATACATTAATAGTTATCAACCAAATATTCTAGTTAACAATCATAACATTTGCCAAATTTGCAATCTAAACATTCTTATTGGCATTAAAATTAACATAAATGACAACCATCATAAGGATTTTAATTACCATCATCGCACTATTCAGATCCAATAATTATTTTATCCCCACATATAGATTAACATTAGAAATCTTATAATAAGTATCCTTCTTCACATAGTTCACAAACACCAAAAACACATAATTTACATCCAATATTACATGTATATTTGCATTGATTACATATTTAATCAATAAGATTAATTTAATCATCACATTCTTCTTAATCTACAATAATACCATCACCACAAACTTCTACACAATGATTATTAATCAAATTAAAGCCTAATAAACAAACTTAACAAACAGATTAATCACAAATCTAACAATTTTTATCACATTAAAGTTAACATTAATAACATCCATCATAGATTGAAGAGTTAGAATCTTCACAGACTTCATAGCCAACTATCAATCCATCTCCACATATAGGAAAACACATGTTAAATTGCATATCTAATTTCCAATTTGGTTAACAATTTAAACAATATCCTAAATAGCATTCACTACATGAATCTTAGCATTCATACTACTATTAAAAGCATCCATCCATAGGTATAATATTGCCATCATCACATTGTTCATCAGTTACAATATTATCATCAATAATTAACTCACATTATAAAGTAGATAAATTTAATATCCATCCTTTGGTATTACATTCTTAACATTACCCATTCAAACAATTTGTACATGAATTCTAACATTTAAATTAACATTGATAACATCCATCAAATATGACAAAATTATTATCGTCACAATTTTCATTACCAACAATTTTGAAATCTCCACAAATAGGAATACATTATTATGTTTAAGAAATAAATTAGAATCCATTTTAACATTTCTAACATCTACCATCAATGCAGACATCACAAAATTCTGAACAACTAATAACACAGGAATCACATAAATCAAATGGATTGAAATTACCATCATCACATTCTTCTTGTCCATAAACAATAATATTATCTCCACAAATTGATTCACAATTACTTCCAGTTAAATACCATCCATTCTATTAGTCACATTCCAAACATATTCCAAAATAACAATTAGTACAATGTTCATAACATTAAAATTAACATTCAAAACAACCATCATATGGATAATTATTTCCATCATCACAAGCTTCAATTCCAATTACAATTTAATCTCCACAATTGGTAGTACATTAATAAATAGATTCTATTAAAATGTAGTTATCTTTACACTCATAACATTTACCTCTTTAACAATTAGAACATTCCTCTTAACATTAAAATTAGCATTGATCACAACCATCAAAAGGATTATCATTACCATCATCACAATCTTCACCATCCACTACTTATTAATCACCACATATTGGTAAACATTATAAATTATATCCATCATCATAATAACCATCTATACATTTGCATTCAAATTCAAATATTGATCTATGAAAATCAGTAACACAACTATAACACTCATTACTATTAGAACCAAAACAACTTTCACAATATCTATCACATCCTAAATAATAAATAATGATTTTTACCAATGCATTCTTATGTAATTGATAAAAAAGCCGAAGGATAACATTGACATTAGCCTTAATCTAAATAAAATTGATTTGCGTTAGTGAATTCACATCTAGTACAAACTGTTGAACTTTAACATTCAATACATCCTAATAATATTGAACACGGTTAGCAAGAATAGAGTTAAGTGCTTGTGTCAAATTATAAATATTCATATGATTCACAATAATTTGTACTATTGTGTCCAGTATATACAGAATCACAATCTGTGATTAATGGTCCATGACAAAGAGTACTACAAAAAGGAGCACACTAATAATATTTGTAATTTGATACATAGTGAACAACCACAAAATATTCTGAAACATACATGAAAGCTTCTTCAATAGATGCTTTATTTGTATTTGCAGATAATTCTATGTCTAGCTAATCACTTGAGTGTAATTATTCAATGATTTCGAAATACTTAGTTGTCTCTTTCTTATTATCTCCAACTGAATTATATGTTCCTGTATTTGGGTTTGTTATTTAACTTGATTAAAATGAACCAAATTTGTATTGAAACCATCCAGTATTTTCATCTCCATAAGTAAAATTTAACCTGTAACTTACTTTATAGTGAGGACGAAGAGAATAAAATGATTTTTTGAATGTTCCAGATTTCCAAACTAAAACACCTCCTAATACTGATTTTTTTGGAACAAAAGAAAATAATTAACCAGTAAATGAAGTTTAAATATTGTTGCTGAAATCTGTAAAATTATCAATAATATTCCCAAGATTATCAAGTGTTGTATTCATATCATAAAATGCTTTAATCAAATATTGACTATCTTAATATATATAAATTAAGTGTACTTTCAATTAAATCTTCATAATCTTAACAAGTTCCATTTGTTAATAAAATTGAATGTATTGGACAACTACTTACACATGTACCTCTGTATAATTAATAACCAGAATCACATATCAAGCATCGTGAATAAGTTTCACATTCAGTACAATTATTTTAACATAATCCATAATCTATAGTAACATTTCTGAAAGCCCAGGTTTCTGATTATAATCCTGTGACTGCTTGAAATCTTATTATAGAATTATAAGAATTTGTTTTTAAAACTGTTTCTATTCTTACTAAATCATAATTAAGACCCAAACAACTAATACTGTTATAATACAATAAACTTGATTAAGAATAAGTATAATTTGTAGCTGTTTTTAATATAGAAGCTCTTGAAAAAGAATCTACTGTAATAATTAATTAGGAATCTGTTTACCAACTGTTTAAATAAAACGAAACTCTTATTCTAATAAATTTCAATGCTTTATTTAATCCTAATTCTAATTATATTCCTTCATAATTATAAAATTATCCGATAAGATCAATTCCACTACAAGATATTAACATTTCTTAATTTCTATAGTAGAATGGGTCTGGTATAAATGTCCAAGGTTAATAAGGTAATAAGTTTACATTTGTTAGAGAATTTGATGTAAAATAACTTAGTTCTGATTTTATTCCTAATTTATAAATATTAATTATATACTTGGATCAAATTAGCAATGTTACTTAGAATCTGCTAAATAATAATCTCTATTACATTCTTATGTACATCCAATTAACAGTTATACATATTAATTGGCTTCATCACAAAGACATTTTCCTCCTAAAGGTGTTCCTTAATAGCAAGTTAAACAATTAAGTTCTGTACTTTCAGAACAAGACAAACATGAGAAATGACATGGTTTAACATATATTAAAAAATTTCTTAATCCTATTCTCATGTCATTATCCTAATACATAAAACAATATGATATATTAAAATTAGGTGTGTTATGAACTATTGAAGTTAAAACTATTGTTTTAATTTCAACTCTTTAATCATCTACATTACTACAACCACCACCACCTCCACCACCACCACAAGAGTAAGAACAAACTTTTTCATATGTTTATAAATCATTCTCTTAATATGGTCTTTAATGTATTTGAGAAGAACCAAAATTGTCTACTAAAAATATATTAAATTCTGAATCTGCTCCTGGAAGAGATCTAAAAAAGATAACATCTGTTATTATTCTAATTTAGTAATGAGGATAGTAAAATTCTTTTTCTAACTTTGTTTTATCATCTTTTAATCTTAAAAATTCTAAAGGATTAGTTCCACATTGTTTTATTGATGATCCTTGTATTTAATTGATTGAGCAATTTTATTTAAAATCCCAATCATTTGCTGAATTAATGCTTTCTGAGTAATAATTGCTATAGATCAATCTCCAATCACATAAGGATAATTATATGATGATAAATATAGTAAAAAACATTTCTAAAAATAATATTTAATTAATCTTGATGAGATCACATAATATTATATCAATATTATAAAATTTAAATCAAACTTTTGTAATTAATTAATCAAATCAGAAATAGTCTGTCATTAATGGAGATTTAATTTTTAGGTTTGTATTTATTATATAATAATATTAAAGTTTGTAATAATAAAATAATTATTTACCAAAAAAATTAATTATCTAATAATTTCTAGATTACAGTTAACCTAAGTAATTAAAAAAAGTAAATTACTCAGATCAATATAAATATATCTAATTGATTGTTTATGATATCTAACAAGCTATTGAAATAATTAATGGAATCATATATTATTTTTTCAAGATATATATATTAATATATAACACATTTCATATTTAAAAAAATAATTAATTATGATAATATATATTAACATTATTCCATTTTGATTATCACATTTCCAATATTCCTATTTAAAAGATTTCTTATTCAAAATCACATTCATCATAAATATGTTCAATTGTTCTTTTATTTAATTTTTAATATGGTCTCTTTATATAAACAGTTTAACAATCTAATATAATTTTAAATATACATTGTATAAATCTCTATAATCTTTTGAAGTATAATTCCTTCCATTATGATTCAATATCTCCATGACCTCCATTTTCCACTAACCAAACAGAAAATAAATGATTAGCATTTTAAGCTAATTATTCTGCATGAACAACATTAATCATAGAGTCAGCTCCCCCATGAAGTAAATAAACTGGGGCTGTCACATCAACTATATAATCAAGATTAGGAAAAATATCATAATATGATGTGTGATTAATTGTAGGGTCAATCACTCTTAGCCCACTTGACAAACCAGAATGAATAATTAATCCTCCTACATTATGTCTCGAGGCTAGGTTAGTACTTGGTCCAGATCCTATACTATATCCATATACTATTATATTCCTTGGTTCAAATTACAATTGATCTACTAAAAAAATGTAAGCTGATTCAATATCATATAGTAAGTTTATATCAGTAGGATAACCAGTGCTTTATCCATATCCTGAATAATCATAGGAGAATAAATTTATTTTACACTCCATGACGATATCAACATATGTATCAAACATCAAACCGATATCTGTAGAATTGCCATGACTATAGAGAATAATCTATTCGCTATTTTAAAATTCAATATAAATAGACGCAATCAAATTACCAGAATTGGATTCTAAAACATAGCTAGAAATAGGCAATCCAGGATTATTATCAATCTCCATTGCTTTTAATTCATTGCTTATAAAATTAAACTCTTGTGAGGGATATTAACTTATGTATTATATTGTTCATACTGCTAATTCTTTGGATTTCTTAATTGTTACTTATATTCTACATTTTATAGAGTATTGTAATATTTAATTCTTGGAGAGATTATAGCAAGATGTTCCTTCGTAAATTGATGTGACTGTCTTTTTGGCTATTTTACTTATATTAAAGGAGAATGTGGTTCATATAAAGTCTTAGATCTCTCTTCTTGCAATGGAGACATAGTTTATGTTTTTATAACTTCATTTCTGTTTCGTATTAAATAACCTACTTCTGGAGGATTGAATGCAACATACTGCACTATAGTTGATCTAAGACATCTAATAATTGACAATAGATTAAACAATCCAGTCAAAATTTTTCGAAAAAGCAAAAGCATGTATATCAAAATTATAAATTTTATCAAATCAAATTACAACCTATTTCTATGTATCAAATGATCATTAAATGTATTAAAATGTGTACCATCAATATACAATTACCTTTGAAGATTGAATTTATCTGTCAATCATAATAATCCTTTAAAATATAAGTTTATAAATAATACTTCATAAAAGAGACACTTAATTAAAATAATATGTATTCAGTTATTCAAATAATAAATAAACAATAATACTAAAAATTCAATTCTAAGTTATTTTTATAATTAAAGATAGATATTGTGAATGGATGTAAAATTAATAAAATATGAGATATGATTTGAATAGTATAGATCAAATTTTTATATTTAATAATGTATCATATAAATAGTATAGATACACATTCCAAATTCAATATTTTCTGATTTTTTCAACAATAAATATTTATAATTACACAATATTTTTTAACATATATATATATAATATATAATTTGTGTATATTTATCATGAATTTTTACTATGATAATGGGTTTATTGATTACCTTGAGCTTCTTGATGTTTATGAAGAGTTTGATTTTCTACTTTCACTTGATGATTTCCTAGATTATCTTCTATTTTATCTATTTTTTTTGAAATTTCTGCTTCTTCTTCTAGATTTTGATGAAGATGAAGAAGATTTCGATGAAGAGGATGATCTTCTTCTTTTTCTATCTCTTTTTTATCTTAATTCTTTTGTAACATAAATTACCTTCTTGCATCACTAGGAGTTCTTGACATAGGACAATCTTTTTTGATATGACCTTTCTTGTAACATCTGTAACATGTTTCTCGCAAATNTCTAAAACATAGCTAGAAATAGGCAATCCAGGATTATTATCAATCTCCATTGCTTTTAATTCATTGCTTATAAAATTAAACTCTTGTGAGGGATATTAACTTATGTATTATATTGTTCATACTGCTAATTCTTTGGATTTCTTAATTGTTACTTATATTCTACATTTTATAGAGTATTGTAATATTTAATTCTTGGAGAGATTATAGCAAGATGTTCCTTCGTAAATTGATGTGACTGTCTTTTTGGCTATTTTACTTATATTAAAGGAGAATGTGGTTCATATAAAGTCTTAGATCTCTCTTCTTGCAATGGAGACATAGTTTATGTTTTTATAACTTCATTTCTGTTTCGTATTAAATAACCTACTTCTGGAGGATTGAATGCAACATACTGCACTATAGTTGATCTAAGACATCTAATAATTGACAATAGATTAAACAATCCAGTCAAAATTTTTCGAAAAAGCAAAAGCATGTATATCAAAATTATAAATTTTATCAAATCAAATTACAACCTATTTCTATGTATCAAATGATCATTAAATGTATTAAAATGTGTACCATCAATATACAATTACCTTTGAAGATTGAATTTATCTGTCAATCATAATAATCCTTTAAAATATAAGTTTATAAATAATACTTCATAAAAGAGACACTTAATTAAAATAATATGTATTCAGTTATTCAAATAATAAATAAACAATAATACTAAAAATTCAATTCTAAGTTATTTTTATAATTAAAGATAGATATTGTGAATGGATGTAAAATTAATAAAATATGAGATATGATTTGAATAGTATAGATCAAATTTTTATATTTAATAATGTATCATATAAATAGTATAGATACACATTCCAAATTCAATATTTTCTGATTTTTTCAACAATAAATATTTATAATTACACAATATTTTTTAACATATATATATATAATATATAATTTGTGTATATTTATCATGAATTTTTACTATGATAATGGGTTTATTGATTACCTTGAGCTTCTTGATGTTTATGAAGAGTTTGATTTTCTACTTTCACTTGATGATTTCCTAGATTATCTTCTATTTTATCTATTTTTTTTGAAATTTCTGCTTCTTCTTCTAGATTTTGATGAAGATGAAGAAGATTTCGATGAAGAGGATGATCTTCTTCTTTTTCTATCTCTTTTTTATCTTAATTCTTTTGTAACATAAATTACCTTCTTGCATCACTAGGAGTTCTTGACATAGGACAATCTTTTTTGATATGACCTTTCTTGTAACATCTGTAACATGTTTCTCGCAAATCGCCTTCATATAATATGACACCTAAAAACCTTCCTTGCATTCATTTGCCCAATGGCCTTTGCGTCCACAATTGAAGCACACATCTCTGGATGTTGGTCCTCTTACACCTGAAGGTCGATCATCTTATCATCACACGATCAAATGTCATCCTACCTCTTTGTTTAACAGTGACACGATCACCACCTATTCTTCGCCCATCCATTTATGATATTGCCTACTTAGCCTCATCTGAAGCTTCAAATTCAATGAAGGCATGTGTGCTTCGTAGATCAATATCCTTTATCTTCCCATATTTCTCAAATTCCTGTTATAAATCTTCCCGCCTTATTTTAGATCCCAATCTCCCTACATAAATTTATCGACTCATTCTACTATTGACCAAATGTAATTATAAATAAATATATTTTAAATAAAATTTATGCTGTCTTTCAAAATTTATTAAATCCACTTGGTCTGCTTTTAAATTTCTATATTTCAATCTACTGTCTTCCTACTACTTAATTAATACTTCTATCTTAACTCCTACTAGAAGGTAATGAAGCATTATCCTTAACTCCAATTCTATTTTAATTATAAAGATATACCTCATTTAAGAAGTACTTTATTACTTTTTAGCAGATTGCGATGCCAACTTTGGGGCAGGTCTTTTCTTATATTTAGAATTGCTATCTATGCTTTGATTCGAATCACATTATTTTGTCATTTTTAAATTATTCAAATATTCTTATTAAACCTTTTCCTCTTTCTCTTGTAATTTTTTTTCATGAAATTCATCAAATAAGATTTGGTTCAATTCTATTTTAATGATCATTTCATCAACCAATTTTTATATTGTTGGTTATTTTAAACTTTTCAATAATTTGTATTGATTTTGATCAATTAAATAATGGTTGACATGTGGCAAGATTTTAATTAAATGTATTACAACATCTACTATTTTATCTGCATATAAATTGAAAAATAAATTAAACTTAAATAATAGTAATTATAATTACATTTAAATAATTAAAATACTTTTTACTTATATGTTTTGGTATAGCATTAATGAAAAACAAATATTTGATTTTTTTATTAGAATTTCCTTTGTAAAATTGTGAATTCATAGTATCTTTGATATTTTATTAGATCTCATAATCTTGACAGGTAAAAAAAAAATGAGCTAAAATTTCCATAGCTAAGTTTTCATTTGAAATGCATGTTTATTATGTGTATAGAATTGGGAAATAATATTTTACAAATTATTTTGGTTTAACAAATCTCATAAAATGTTTAATTTATGTTAAAAAATTTTCATTGATTTTATAATTCTGGTTACACTTATCGAAAAGTTTTGCAATATCTTAAAAAATTACTTTAAATTATTTTTGCTTATATATAAAATGTAAATATTACAATTTTATCTAAAGATATAAAATATCCCTCATTTATTAAGGTTTCAATAATTTTACCTAATTATATTTATAGAATCAATTTTAAGTTTTCAGTATTCAAAATACTTGTTAGAATAAAATATATTTAAGTTGAAATAAAGCTATACTTATTTATAATTTTTTTTTACATCAAAAGACTTAATCAATTAATGCAAGATAGAACAAGCAAAAATCCTATTCTCCTCATCATCTTCATCAATAATTACACAAAAAGGCTAGATTAATTATAAGTTTAATTGAAGATCTTTAATTAAAATAAGAAAACCTGGTAAATTATATAAATAATAGTATCTAATTATTTGACTCTAATGTTATCCAAATTTCACAAATAAATTAATCAGGTTTTATTTAAATTCTAAATTCACTTAGTCCTTTATTGCAAGAAAAGCAACACCACAATATGTCAGAGATGTAGTAAGAACATCTTCATTTTAAGTGGATAAGCAATCTATAAATATTTAAGTAGGATTAAACTTATATCATATAGAAAATATTACAACACACTCAATCGCATTTAGTTTCTAATAATGTAAAAATAATGTTTGAATCATTTATTTTTTTACTTATGGACAATTATCATATATAAGTGGTAAGCATTTATCTTGTAAATATTAATGAATAAGATAAGGACTTAACTTTTCAATCAAACAAGAAAAAACATCTCCAGCTACTAAAGATCTAACTTCAGAATCATTATCATTGCATAATTATCTAACTCTATCTAATATAGGTCCTTAAATCTTATCCCCTAATAAATTTGCTACTTAAATAATCATCATAGCCCCTATTAATCTTCCAACTTCTGGTTGACGAGGCATAGACATTTCAATGATTATTTTCTCAATATGATCTTAATAGTCCTTATAGTTGAATTAATGAATAAGATTTCCAAATGTAGGAATCCATGCATCTGCATATTTCATATTGTATAATTAAATAAAATGAAGGACCAAAGGCATTAGTTCTTTGCTATGGCATTTGATATTCTTGAGTGAAATTCCAGCTGCTACTATAAGTTCTTCACTTTATTCCATAATATCAGCTTGAACCACATTATATAATTCTTTGAAACCTTCTTACAAAAGTCTACCTAGATTCTTGTAAATCTATTTATTATTACAATATAATACAGCTAATTTCTATCTCTGTTATCCATTAGTCAAAATAATTTAAGCTCTTTTAATCTCTGATAAATTTTCTTCAAGAATAAGTTTCTTAATTTCATCTCCTTTCTATAATAAATGTTTTCAATGTACATCTAAAGAGACTCGTATTTCAGTCACTAAAAAATCATAGGATTCAATAGCCATTTGGTTGATAAATTAAAATTATAATTAATCTGTTTCTAATATTTAAGAGAGATCTCATTTAAAAGTTCAACCTTCTAATCAAATTATCAATTTTTTATTTCTTAAGATCTAATATTATATGTAATTTATTGTAAAGAGAAGACAGAAGAATAATACTAAAATTTTAAAGTAAAATTAATACTTGTTTATTTTGATTTGTGTATTTTACATAAGAAACTCTTAATTCAATATATCCAAAAGTTCAAATATTTACATTAATAATAAAATAATGAAAATTCTGGTAGTCCTTCTTTAATCAACATTTTTGATAATATTTAGAAAATTGATATTTTACCTATCTCAAATGAAAAAAAGAAGAATAAATATTCATTGACATCTTAATTTCAATCAATGAATACAATAGAAACTTATTTATTTTTATATTTATCAAACTACTTCATTAAATCATATATTATTATATATGGAAAATAAAAGCATTAAAGTGATATTTTAAGGCTTATAATAATAAAAGCATTCATGTATTAGAACAATTTTGATGTTCTGAACCATCTATAGGATGTTTTAGTTAACAATAGTATTCATCAGATACTGTTCAATTCTGTTTATGGTTCATAGCAAAATAATTATAATATTGAGAAAGATAAATTATTTAAATTAAAAAACATGAATAATTAAGAACAAAAATAATATGAAAAATTTGATTGGGAAGAATACGAAAGAAAAAGAGCAATTGAAAAAGTGTAGTATGAAAAAATATCAAAAGAAATATAAGAAACTTAGGAAAGATCAAGATAAACTTTAGCTAGCTTAGAGGTTACATTCAAAAATTTAGATGAAGCTAAAGCTTAAGCTAGATAGACTGTTGAAAACATAGATAATTTTAAAAAATAGTTCAGTGATGCTATGGATAAATTATTAGATAGTATTGGAAAGTCAATGAGTGCAATGGGTATTAAATCAGATGAATAAAATCCTAAGACTGCTAAAGAAGTAACTATAGAATAAGCATAAAAACTGATTACTAAAAATGTGTTAATATTATGTGGAGCAGGTTTAAGTTATGCAAGTGGTATTCCAACTTTTAGAGGCTAAGATGGGTATTGGACTAAAGGAACAGATACATATCAATGCTAAAAAGTATTAACGAAAGAATTTTTAATAAGTAATCCAGATTTATGTTGGGAATGGCATAAAGACTTTTAAAAGATGTTAATCAATAAAAAACCTAATGCAGGTCACATAGCTATTGCAAATTATAAAAAGAAAAATCCTAATACTTTAATAGTATCATAAAATATTGATAATGTCCTCACTTCTATTCTACCTTAAAAATAAATTAAGCATGGTCATTATGAATCTATTTATGAAATCCATGGTAATATCAAATATATGAGATGTTCTAAAGAATGCACACTCAAAAATAATGAGTTAGCTACTCTATATGATATGCCAGATCTCACTAAGAATTTAAAACCAAAATGTCCATAATGTGGTGAAAATGCAAGACCTCATATATTATTTTTTGATGAATCATATACTAATGAAAATTGTAGAATTTAAGAATTATAAGAAAAGTATGATAACTATGATACAATAATTGTAGTGGGTACAATGCTTGAAACTGGATGTGCTAAATCAACTGTTTGTAAATTCATTAAAAAAAAGGCCACTATAATTGAAATTAACCCAGAACCTATTATTGAACTTGGAAATACTTATCAAATAAAAGGAAAATCAGAAGAAATCTTGCCAAAATTATTGAAATGAAATTTATTATACGTATTTTCTCATTTATCTTAAAAAAATTAAGATTTATTGCTATTTTGAATATCTATATTATCTTTCTTTCATTATCCACATTTTAAGATCAGTTTACTTTTCTTTTTGTAATATGATATTCTATGATAGTATTTAAAATCTTGAATAATTTCATATGAAAGCTATATTGATTTAACTAAAATTAGAATGAAATTGTATTTAACTATATTTATCAACATTTTTTAATTGGCTATTCGATAGTTAAACTTTTATATTGAATTTAGCAATAGCATTCTATAAAATAGTTCAAATATATAGAATGATAATCCTTTTAATCGAAAAAGTTGATGAGATCATTTAATATATTAAATGAAAAATATTCTTTTAACAGCTTTATTAGTAGCAATAGTAGTTGCTAGTCTAAGAGGATCAGACCGAAAGGAACATAATAATCATAGAGATTGGAACTAAGAAAGAAAAGGAAGCAATTCATATTCTAGTGGAGATGAATATACTCTTTATGATAGTGATGATAAATATACTCTTTACGATAGCGATGATAAATATACACTTTATGACAGTGATGATAAATATACTCTTTATGAAAGTGATGATAAGTATACTCTTTATGACAGTGCTGATGAAGAATATCCTGTTTATGAAAGTGATGATAAGTATACTCTTTATGACAGTGCAGATGAAGAATATCCTGTTTATGAAAGTGATGATAAGTATACTCTTTATGAAAGTGATGATAAGTATACCCTTTATGACAGTGCTGATGAAGAATATCCTGTTTATGACAGTGATGATAAATATACACTTTATGACAGTGATGATGAATATACACTTTATGATAGTGAATCTAGTGGAAGTAGTTCAGATAGCGAATCTGAGTCTTAAGAATTTAAACATAGAAAAAATGGTCACAATCAAAGACATAATAAATTTGGAAGAAGAGGACCTATGAGAGGTGGATTCCATCATAGAAATCAATAGAACAATAATAAAAAACATCCACATCCTCCTAGACCTCAAGATGAATTCCCAAAAAAAGTTTTCTAGAATTTAAGAAAAACTGGAAAAGTTATTTTAGATGAATGGAACATCACTTAGGATCCATCACTTAAAAATGAGATCAGAGCTATATTAATTGCAAATTTAGAAAATTTACTACCTGTGGCTGAAGTTCTAATTCCCACAGAAGTTGCACCTGGGCCTGCTGAACCCATTAACACAATCTAAAGAGAACATAATCCTCATCCTCATCCACCTCCTCCTCCTCGTCCATAACCTCAAGATGAGTTTGCTAGATAGGTTTTCGAAACTCTTCATTAGATTGGATTTGAAATTCTTGAATAATGGAGGATAGAGTAAGATGTGGAAGTTAAAAATCAAATTAGAGCCAATTTGATTTAATAACTTAGTGATCTTATTCCAGTTTAACCATTGGAAGTATCAACTACCATTTTAGATGCTCCTCTCTAACTTGAAACTGTCTATGAACATTCAGTCCCAAGATTAGCTGATGAGAATGGAAATTGATATTTAAATAATCATAATAAAAATTCATTTATATAATTTAAGAGCAAAATACTATAAGTTTTCATAGAACTTTATATAATTATTCAAAGCTCTAATCTTTTACCAAAGATTCTAAATATAAAAATAAAAAATAACTGTTATATAATGAATTAATATAAAAGTTTGGTTTTAATCAAATATTTTTTTGTAAATTTAGTAAATTAATCAATTATTAATTTATATAAATAGAAACATTATATAAATTGAATCGAAACCTTTGTTATTCAAATCATGGCTATACATAAATTAAGTTCTATAATTTAACTAAAGATTTTAATTAATAAAGTGGAGATTCATAATTAATAAGGTAAGTATATTTATCTAAACTCTGTTATATTGATTAATGGGGCATCCTAATATATAGAGGAAATATAATTAAACTATTATTTCTTCTAAGTATTATAGTTCAACTTTAATCGATCTTTATATTTATTTCTGTTGCACCAATTATAAATCTTTTTTTTTTGATTCATATAACCTATTTATTATTTAAATTAACATTCTCAGTTCTTTTTTGATATATCTTTTATGTTCTTTCTGATTTCCTATTTCTTTTTCCTTATAATAATATCATTTCTCATATTCTTAATCATATTAGATAATTTATTTTAATAAACTTAATTATTGTTTTAGTAACTCTTCGAAACTAATTATAAAAGTATCAGATTTTGAACATTTTGAAACAGAAATTGTATTTTTTTCAATCTTCAATTCTATTTTTTTAATTTCAAATTCTGATTATGAAAAAAGTTGATAAGAAGTTCATTTCTCTTATGAAAATCATCAAAGATCTTCAATATCTTAAATTTTTTAGATGATATCTCCACTTTAATGTTTTTTACAAAAAGTCAACAATATTATTTTATTAAGTATTGAATAAAGATATATATATTAAATAAAGTAGCTATTCTATTTATCTAATTAAAAATTAATATTATATCATGTATTTAATATCTAGGGGATTGTTATTTTAGAAAAGAATTTAATCTTAAAAGATTTACAAGCTTTAAATGAGATAATTAATATTATGATTTAATTTAATTGTGTATTAATTAATTATTATCAAATGATATAACTAGTTTTTATTTTATTTGTTACTTCATCCAAACAAGACTTTTTACTTTATTATTATTTTAATAATCTGTTCTGAAAATTTTAAACTAAAGCAGATTTATTACTATTATGAATAGAAGCAGCTTGATTACAATAATTTAAACTACTAAATTATGAAAAATTTTCATCATTTCTTTTAGTAATTTGTTGACTATTAATATAAATTAACAAATATTACCTTATTCTTGGTCTACTATTTATATGATAAGTTTCTTCAATTCTTTCAACAGAATTACTATATGTATATTTGATTTCTTTTTATTCTTCTTTTTATTAATTTATTTAAAAAGCAACAATCAATAAAGTAACATTATCACTACTTTCTTTATATATAGCTTCTTTCAATACAGAATCAACTGCTGTTGATAATACTGAATGTAAATTAGATTTATTATTATTTTAAATATCTTGCCAAATGATATTAATTACATCTCCTGAAGACATCTTATCAAAAATACCATCACCTAAAATTATGTTAATGTTACATACATCCCAAAACAATGAAATCATGATCTTAATTAATTTTAAATATTTTGACATCTGGTTCAGATATTACAACTTTTGAATTTCCACCAAATTATTCAAATTTAGCTTCTATATCACCAAAAGTTCTTGAAACTGATAAACGTCCAGGCATAACTCTAACTGGTCCAGTAACTTATGTTCCTTCTTCATTAATTCCTTAAGTTTAATATATTTTGCCTCCTCCTCTTTGTATTCTTTCTGCTTCTGTTTCTGGTTTATGATCAATTGATAAATTTGTTACTCTTTTCCCTTTTTAAGAACTTAGTACAGCTCTACTATCTCCAACATTAGCTACATAGCAAACATCTCCAACAATTAAACAAACTATAGCACATGATCCACTTCTTTCTTGGATTCCTTTTGAATATTGATCTAACGCATAAGCTAAAAAATGATTTTCTGCTGCTTCAAATCCTTTTCTTATGGCTCCTACAGGATTCCATGGAAATTCAGGTTCTTTTATTACAAATGAATGTAAAGAATCTCTTAAAAAATCAGCACAAGCTGCTCCTCCATGTCCATCATAAACTCCAAAAAATGAACATTTTGGCCAATTTTCTGTTGCTCTATTTTATGGCTTAACTATATTTAAAATTATAGAGACTCTATCTTCATTATAATCTCTAACAATTCCTTAATTTGTATTAGCAGCATAAGCTCTAATAATTCCATTTCTACCTGATGAACATTTTGTTGGTTCATAGTTAGGTAAAATAGCTTATTTTTTCATTGAATGTTCTTCCAAACTTGAGAAATTTAACTCTAATGTTTTTCTTACAGGTTGTTTTATTAATGGAGATACATCATATTTTTAATAAGATTTGTTTTAACTCTCAAAAGGTCTTTTAGGATTTATATCTCTTTATAGATATTTATTCAAAAAGGATGGTGCATCGCGTGATTTATAATTCATTAGTTATATTAATAAATTTGAATTTATATTTACATAATGATCAACGGATAAATTCTAAATGATATAAAATGATATAAACTTTTAATCATAATATTAACTAAATGATCTATGTTCTTTCATTTAATTAATATGATCATGAAATATACTTTCATAATAATTATAACATTAATAAATTTATATATATATAAATATCTATGATCCATTTATTCATTCAACATAAAAAGATGTCTAATGGTAACTTAATATTTGATTAAAATTGAAAGAATCATTAATTAAATACTCTTTATCTATAATTCAAAAAGTCCTAATTTTAATTTATTAATTTAATTTAATATCATATCTCATATAAATATAAAATGAATATGATGAGAGGAAATAATGGCGATAATTTTTGTAAATAACATTTAATATTAAGTTGGGTTACCTAAGGCTAATTAAAATTAAAACATGAATCAGATTAAAAAAAATGAAAGAACAAATAATGAATAAGCAAATTAATAGATGTAAAAAACTATAGAACAAGCTATAAAATAAGAGGATAATAAAGATAAAAATAAATGATGATTAATGATTTACATAATTATATCATATATCATATAAAAATTGTAAATGGTTTGATAAAATATTTATTCAAGCTTTAATCAATAAATTTTATGTTGTAATTTTAAATCTCAAAGATTTTTGAATTAACATAATTTTTGTCAATTCAAAAAAGTTTCTATTAAATTATACTTATTTTTCAATAAATCTTTTATAATTTTATTAAATTAATGGAAATGGTTCGAGGTTTGAATGGAAATGATTGGGGTATTATATTTTTTTAAATTAAAGATGACGAGAATGATAAGAATAATAATTAAGGATAAAATAAAAATAATAAAGAATAATAAGAAAAGATGAAATAAAATGTTGAGAAAGCAATATAAGAAGTATAAAAGTAGGTTTAATTTGATAAAAAAAAATGAATTATATATTTATATTTTACAATAATATAAAATATTTTGAAAATTTTAGAAATGTCTCTAAACATAAATATATATATAATGTATTCAATAATTAAAATTAACTAATTTATTTATATATATAAATTATCCATCATAATGGTTTTACTTTAAGAACATTACCACTTCCTATAGTTTATCTAATTTAATAACATAATATACTAATCATTGGTTAAGATCAAAAAATGTCCTAATTCAAAGAATACGTTATATTTTTCTAAACAAAATGGTTCTGCAAGCTTTCATATATTGTAAGTATCTACCTTAAGTTTAACTCCTCCTGATTATTTGGATTTTAAAAATTCTTAAGTTTATTTTTTACCATCTATATTTATATATTCAACATTGGTAACTTCAAAAAGAGTTTGAATACCATTAAAATTTAACAATCCTGAGTATCCACTTGTTATTATTAATGATTGTTTTTAAGTCTCTAATTAAATTTCAGCTAATATTTCTTTACTCAGAAAACAAGGTGCTTAATGAGGAAGTGATAAGATATCTCCAATTTATAATTTAGTATTTAAATTCATTACAATCTAATATTAGTAAGTAGTTTTACTTGTATCAGATCATTTTGAGCTATATTATATTAGATATTATTAATTAAATCTATAATTCCTATGACTTAAACAGCAGTTTTTTACATTATAGAATAAAAATGTAATGGAATTTAGATTTAATTTAATTAACCACTTAAAACTTTACATTCATACGTTGAGTTACGTACTTTTGATATATTTAATACTCTAATTCTCAATATATTTTAAAAATTATTAATTTTCATGGTAGAAATCTCTCCTATCAAAGAATTTCCTTCATACCATTAGCAATCTTTATTAATAATATTAGTGAATGATTTTGAATCAATAGGAATAACTGTAAATTATAAATCAACAATTAAGGATGATAATTTATTTTAGATATATTCAAATCTCTCTTTACTCCAATTACAACTATTCATATTAGTAATAACAAAAATGATTTTGTAATTTTATTTTAGTAATCTTATAGCTTCTAAATTAAAATGGAAATTATTGTCTAGTTAATTTTCAAAGATTCCTATTTAAGCATTGAAGAGAAACATTAAAACTTCAAAATTTGGTGCTTTACTTAAGAAATCATGACTAAAGTAATTTTTTGATTCCTCAAAATATATATTGCATTAATCTGAATTATATTAGCAACGAGTAACTTAAGAAGAATATTAATCACCTTCAAATTTATCCATAGCTTCTTCTTCATCTTCTTCTGAATCTAAATCTTCATCATATACATTCTCATTAATTTTTTGATTTTCATTTTTTAAAGCTTTCAATAATTCAGTTTTACCAGAATCACATAATCCAAAAATCAAAACATTGATTTTATTTGTTATTTGTTATTCTGGTAATTGAATCATTTATAAATATAATAAATAATTTGATTTTAATTTTTTAGATAATTGATAAAATAAGACATTGAATATATTTGAATAAATATATGATTTATTATGAATTCTCATCCTTTATGAAGGACTGTTTAAAATTTGAATTACTATTAACCGACAGGAGACTGGCTGCGTTGCAAAAGTTCAAGTGGTTATGTATTATATTGTAATTGAGGCTATAAAACCAAAGATTATTACCTCAAAGGGGATGTAACCTAAAATGGATTATATTTATAATTTACTTATGGAATTTGTTATACTTATTAAATAGTTTATTATGGTTATATTTGTAATACAGATTATTGCATTTAAACATTTTATTATAATATAGGTTAAGTTTAAACATACATTGTTTATTATTATTGTGATGGTTACAACACTACTTAAGGTTATTAAATAATTTGTTGTTATCTGATAGGGGATAATGCATCTTATTAAATTAAATGTGTGTTTGTTACTATTTATTATTATACAGCCACTGAAGAAATCATCTCTTATTATATTCCTTACATTAAAACTACTGGTTAAGCAACAGAAGCTACTTATTAAGGTTAAGCAACAACTAAATTAGGTTATTAAGTCATCATTTAAACTGTTTAAGTAGTCGCATATTATGGTTATTAACCAGTTACTTATACATTTTGACTAATAAAATGAGGCTATTAAACTTAAATCTGTTATTGTGAATATGTTTCAATCTTTTGAGTAGGTTGGACCATCATAACTTATTATAATGGTTGCATTTCTTAAACTTACACAACTTATTATTGTTAGATAACTGGCTATATTATAGCTTGCTATTAAACAAATTAAGGTTAGACTGTCCTCAACTATTGTTATACAGGTTAAACAGCCACAAAAGATGCAGGTTCTTCTTATATGACAAGTGGTTGTCTAACACTTAAACATTATGTTAACATTGGTTATTTTGCAACCTAATTATTAATTAAACAATACTTGAACAGGTTCACAAGCTACAAATTTTGGCACAATAATGCTTCTTACTGAACTAACAGGATAAACTATTTATTATGGACTTTTGGGCATTAATCTTATAAATTCTTCACTTCTGGGTTGAAAATATCTATCTGGTGATTGAATTCGAGGTGTATTTTTGCTTTTACTTAAATCTTATGGACTATATATCTTTTATTCTGAAGCAGGTTTCTTCTTTTTGGAGAATTCTTCTGGTTCACATTAATTCTCTTCTGGACCATTAGGTTTTTTCTTTTTAGAGAATTCTTCTGGATCACAAGGTTTCTCTTCTGGTTCATTAGGTTTCTTCTTTTTAGAGAATTCTTCTGGTTCACAAGGTTTCTCTTCTGGTTCTTCTGGTTTCTTTTTTTTAGAGAATTCTTCTGGATCTTAAGGAGCATTTGTTAAATCTTCTGGTTTTTTTTTCTTTGGCTTCTCTATACATTCTGCCTCACAAACAGCAAAATTTAATCCTTATTTAGGTTTTTCCTATTCAACATCATCACATTTATTCTTATTAATTTCTTCATCATCACATTTTAATTTATTTAAATCTTCATCATCACATTTTTATTTGGAAAGATCCTCATCATCACATTTTTATGGTTTTCCATCTTTTCCTTTAAAACCATAACCATACATTAAAAAAGATCGTTGTTTTACTGTTATTTTGGCTGATAATTAATATTATGCCTTTAATTCTGCCATAGCTTTCATTTATAATTCCCAACTTGCCATACCACCACCTATAGCTGCTGCTTCTTCTTATCTTCTTAATGCAGCAGCCATAGCAGCTTCACATGCCATCTATACTTTACCTGCTGAACTATTAAATTATTTTTCCTAATCTAATTAATTTATAATAACCTTTAAAGAAGCATCTGAAAAATTATATTTATTAAGCATTAATCCTCCACCAAGTTTAGCATGATCAGCTTATAGATTATAACCACCATACTTATATTACTATAATATTGAATAATATTAATAAATACTGCAGATGCACTTTCATAAATTTCTCCTTCAACATTACCTTAACCATTCATCATTTCAAATTCAGCGGCATCAAACTAAATTTATTAGAGTGATCTATACTTATCCTTAATCTTCTGATTGTTATACTCGATGAGATGTTGTTATCGTTTTTGTCACAATTGTTTATGTTTGATAGCTTGTTTATTGAGAGCTCTATCATAAGAATTAAAGAGTTACAGAAGATGTTTAAGCATGCTATTAAGATTGACTTTAGGTCTGCATTCCTTCTTCATAGGTATTACCTTCTTCCATTTTGTCATCTTATCTCATTGATTAAATCTGTTTTTAATATTATTATAGCACAATTTACATTTCCGTTCGATCTTTTAGATTAATGGTTTAATTCATTAGAACAATCAAATTTTATGCTTTCTAGTTCTCGTTTTCTTTCATCATTAATCTGATAAATTAAAACTCATTATACATTTTTATCAATATTCCCCCCATTACTCGAATATTAATATACATAATTATTCCCTTCACCGTTTCTAATTTATGTTTCCATTTAAGAAAATTCTTCCTAATAAATAATAACCAAAAATTTTACCTAAATTATTCTTTGATTGTTTTAAGATTGAAAGTTTTACGAAGAACTTTCAATTTGAGATGAAGTTTATGAGCTTAGATTTGTGATTTTACTCATTGGATTTGATTAATAGTTTTAATATTTTATATTTTTTTGCAGATTTTAATCACCCTTTAAATACATAAAACCAATATTAAATTTTATAAAAGATTATTATTATTCATTAATGAATATTATTTTTCACAAAATTTAATTATTAAATTTATAATACTAAATATAATTAATAATGTCATATATTGAAACTAGACATCAATAAAATACTATTATTATCAATTTTATTAAAATAACCTTGGAATTTTCAAATGAAGAATTTTATAAATATAAAGAATTTAATTTTTGTATAATATAAATTCTCTTAATATATCTTTCTAACTAAGTTTAGCCTTGAAAAACTCAAAATCTTTAAAGGAATTCAGAAAATTTCTTATTTGGTCAATAAAACAATAAATTTTCTTATTATTTTTAGAAAATATAAATTGTGAACCAATTTCAAATCATTTATGGCTACATTTTAGTTAAAACCAGAGATGAGAAAAATATATTTCTATAAAAATTAAATAAGTGTTATTTATATATTTATTAGATATCTTAATTTAAAAATTGAATAATAATAATTAAAATTGAACCTAATGATGATTTAATTACTAATTTTGATAGTCAATTATTTTACAAAAAATCTATTATATAATCTATTAAACTATAATTTATTAATCTCGAGGGTTAAAATATATCTGTTAAAATTATATTAAACATACTTTTTGATACATCAAATTTTATCACTTAGTCAAGATTAATCTATATTTGATGATTGAGTTTAATTTAAGTTGACAGATTATTTTTTCGAAGTAATTGAGATAATATTTAGAAATTATCATCCACATTTTTATTTGAATAATTAATATTATTGATTGTAGTAAATATGGTACATTCAAATAGTTCAATCTAAAGTTGATGAATTGTATTTGTCTCTCTTAATATTGAGTCTATGAAATAATTGTATTTTATTTTATTAATGAAATAAATAATAATAAAAAATCATGAATTTTAATCCAAATAATTTAAAGATAATTATCTATATTATAATTATGAAAATATTTTATATCCTTTCATTCATAGTGACTCTATGTAAGGCATAGATAAATATGGCATTTTGTGATGATTACATTGAATATGATGTGAATTATTTTGGAAAGTTTATTTCAAATGCCAAGCTTTCCAATAACACAGATGCAATTCTGGCTGAAAAAAGAGTGCTTATTATTGATGATAATCTTAATGTATTAAGTTCATTACCAATTCCTAAAACTCAGACTCATAATTGCGAATGGATATTCAAATAAAGTTCTGATACTTTCTTTGTTGGATGTCAAAAGAATGGAGAATCTCCTTACTTAATTGCTTATAAAAATATTAATTAGACTCATTATTAATAATTTGGGGACATAGTGTACTTCCCTAATTTAAATGAAACAGTTATCAAGGTAACAGGAATCTTAAATACACTATTTACAATTTAATCAAAAAAAGTCACTTTATTCACTTTAGTAATTTCAGTAGCAGATTGGAGTATAAAGACAACTCAAAATGTGTTGGATAAGAATTATTTTGCAAGAACAGCTGAAATAAATATCACTGATATAACTCTAGCACCTTATATATCAGATAACTTATAATAATATAAATTGATTGTAGTTGAATACAGTCTTGGAGCATTTTGGGTAGATACAGTTGTAAAAAATAATATACTCTCACCATTTAGAAATGGCCTCATAGATTTAAAAAAATACTTTGCATCTACTAGATACTATTCATCAGCTGTTATCCATTCCACAACCTATAATGTATCTCAAATTGTTTTTACTCTTTTTTATAATGGAAATTATGATCTAAGCATCAAAGCTGTTTATGTATCAACTTCAACAACAAACGTTATGGACAATTATTTATTTTCCTCAAATGGCTGGTCATCATGGAATAAACCAATTCTATTTGGAAACTTATAAGGGATCCTTCGTAGAAATACATTAAAGTAAAGCATTTTTAATGTTTATAACATCTAAATCCCTGTTGCTAATGCCCAATACGAAAGTAATTTAACTGCCACCGTATATGATCCAGTAGATACTTTCACTTCTCCTCCATAAGATTTTGCTATTTATTATTTTAATACTGGTTACAGAGTAGTGCATAGTATAGAAAACAATAAGTTATAAAGTTGTGACCTTTACAATTATAAATTGCAAATGGAATGATTTTATAAATAAATAAGTAAACAAAATATTAGTATCTCATCTTACCTTTTATAAAATAATTTGTTTAAATTAAATAAATATCGACATTATTGTTGCTATAAGTATATTTAGAAAAGATTAAAATTTAATCATCCTAATCTATCATTTATTTTCATTAATTCTTAATATCAACTAAAATACATTAATTTATTATTCTATAACCATTTGATGATATGTATTCTTTTAATTTTCTATTCTTAATTTCAACAAAATAGTTAAAGATTAATCCTTACAATTTCAATAAATAAAAGCATAATATGAATTTAATCATCTCTTATTAGTAATAATGAAATGGGATGGTTGAACTCTCAATAAACAAATATTAATTAAATTAAAATATAATATCAAATATAAAAAAAAAATGATTCAGTATATTTATTTACACTATATAGTGAATAATAAGCTTATTGAAAATAATTTAGATTAAATCTCAATTGAGTAGTATTAATAATTTATTATATAAATTCCATGTAGGAATTTTATAAATAATATATTTATTTTTGAATATAATATGTAATAAAAAGAGAAATAAGAATCAAGTGATGAAGAAATAGAAGTCTAACCTTAATAGTAATAATAATAAGTAGTACTAAAGAAAAATACTTAATATAATTAATAATTAATTGACAAATTAAATAAACCTCATCAGTTTTGGTAAACTCAACCTATGCCCAATATTAATGAAATGGATAAATTAAAACCTGGACCCATTCAACTTGGAGTATTAGCTGAAGTTAGAAAGGATCCATTTAATTTAATTGACAAATTTGAATGGTTTAATGTTGATTTAAGAAATGAAGAATAAGCTTAATAAGTAAGAAATATATATTAATTAGGTTTACACTTTATTGAAGGAGAATTATGTTGAAGATGATGATAATATGTTTAGATTTGATTATTCAATAGAATTTTTGAGATGGGCATTACTACCACCTGGATAATATTCGGATTGGTTGATTGGTGTAAGGGTTAATTAGAAATTAGTTGGATTTATCACAGGTATCCCTGTAACACTCCACATTGAAAATGAATAAAATAAGGTGAAAATGACAGAAATTAATTTTTTATGTGTTCATAAAAAAATAAGAGCTAATAGATTAGCTCCTGTCTTAATTAAAGAAATTACTAGAAGAGTACACATAAAGAATATGTGGTAAGCTGTTTATACAGCAGGGATTGTTGTTCCAACACCAATTTCTTAAACAAGATATTATCATAGAAGCTTGAATGCAAAGAAATTAATTGAAGTTGGATTCTCATCATTATCAGCAAGATAGACAATTTCAAGATAATAAAAATTATATAAATTACCTGAAGAACCAAAGACTCCTGGAATTAGACCTATGAAAAAGAAAGATGTTGCTTAAGTTACTAAATTATTAAATGAATATTTAAAGTAAAATTAATTCTATCTATTTAGAAATTTCAAATTATATTTTAAATATACAGATGAAGAAGTGAAACATTGGTTTTTACCTAGAAAAGATGTGATTAGTACATATGTAGTAGAAAAGGAATAAGGAATTGTTACAGATTTTTTATCTTTTTATAATTTACCAAGTTAAGTTATAAAGAATCCTAAATATACACATTTGAGAGTATTTTTTGAATCAATTTTTTAAGGCTGCATATTCTTATTATAATGTTGCAACTTAAACACCCATAGTACAATTAATGTATGATGCATTGATTTTAGCTAAAAATGAAGGTTATGATGTATTTAATGCATTAGATATAATGGATAATGAAAAATTTTTAAAGGTATATTCGTTATCAATAATTTTAGGAATTAATGTTTTGTCCAGGAGATGGATAATTAAATTATTATCTATACAATTGGAAATTAGAAAATGATATGCTTAAACCAGAAGAGATAGGAATTGTTCTTGTATGAGTTATAAATAAATATACATTTATAAGTTATATACTTTGTATATTAAATATAGAGTAGTAACAAATGTTCTATTTAAAATACATTAATATATTTTTGAATATAATATTTCACATTATAACTGTATTTTTGTTATAGATGTTACTTGTAATACCTCTATGTGGTAAAATAAAACTTTGATTTATATAGACTTCATCTTTTACTTAGACATCTTCACCACAAACAGAAACACCTTCTATTCTAACCCATTTACCTATAGTAGATGACCATCCAATAATTGATTCATTAATCCAACTATTTGCATTGATTATGACTCCTTTCAAAAGAACACAATTCTTCAATCTCACTCCCTCTTTAACTTAACAATCTGGTCCAATTATTACATTAGGTCCAATTACAGCATTAGGATCAATTTAAGCAGAAGCATCAATTAAAACATTTCCTACAATGTTGTTACCCTTTGCTAATACATCAGGTGTATGTGTTTTATAACTTTCCAAAATGAGAACAGTTCCTGCTAAGTAATCTTTAGGTTATCCCACATCCTTCCAAAATCCTGGTAGTATATATTGATATAATTATCCTTCCTTAGCCATAATTGGAAAGATTTCTCTTTCTATAGATGTTGGTTTTAACTAATTAGATATTGATATTTCTTACAGGAATCCTATCAATCATGCTGACATTAAATAAATAAAGTCCAGAATTGATCTTGTTACTAATAAATTCTTAAGGTTTTTCAATGAAATCCTTAATTCTACCTGTTTCATCAGCTAATATGACTCCATATTTAGAAGGATCATCTACTTCATTGACAAATATTGTTCTATAAATATAAATATTTTAAAACCCCTCATGATTATGCTATTTGTGAAATTGCAACAGTTTATCAAGTGGAAATTCACATATTATATCACTGTTAAGTACAAAGAACAAACCCTCAGGATTATCTTTGATAATATGATCTTTAGCAAGTCTAATAGGACCAGCAGTTCCCAAAGGTTCAGTTTCTTAAGAGCAGATGATTTTGACTTTATAGAGATCCTATAATTTATTGATTTATTCTTTCATAGTGTCTGGTTGATAATTGATGGCTAAAATAATTTCCTACACTCCAACTTTTACCTAAAGATTTAAGATAGATGTACTAATGCTTCAATCTAATGCATAAGAATGGGTTTATTTGCGAATTCAACAAGAGGTTTGGGACATTTAAATGTAAGAGGTCTCAATCTAGTACCATATCCTCCAACAAGAATTAATGCTTTCATGAGTTAATTAAATTATGATTTATTAATTTATCAAAATCCTAATTTGAAATGGTGAACACTTTGTTAGATTGTCATATTTATTGCCATTTATATCTTAATCTATATGTAAATCTAAGATTGTTGAATATCAGTGAAATTATTAGATGATTTAAAATCTGATTAGAAAAATATTAAACTACATTCTTTATACTTTAAAAATAAGTAGTATTCATAGAACTAGATTATATTAATTAGCTTATAATTTATAATCTATTCCATCATATATGAGATTGATTAAGAATGATTAATATCCTAATTCTAGTTGAAAATAAAATCTAATTGATTATATTCAATATAATCTTTAAAAGTTTAAAACTTATACATTATTTTTGATAATTTTAGATTTAGATAAGTGATTGGAATATATATAATTATATTCTAATAAATTGATAAAATCCCAATGGAATTTAAATCAACGCTATTCAAAAAGAAAATTAACAAAATTAATTATCTATAAAAGACTAAGATAGACAATAAATTTAGAACTTATCATTGATTTAAAAAAAATAGGCTAATAATATTTTATGTATTTAAAAAACAAATTATTTTATTAAAAAGTTATCATAAAAAGTATATAATAGTAATAGAGCAAAGATTATAATTTACTATTATAATGCTAATTTATTGAATTTTTAGCATATTATTTTTTCTAATATTCTGCTTTTATACAATTTTATTAAGATTATAGAAAAATAAAATATATTATAAAAGTTTGCTAAAAATGAAAATACTTTATGAGTGTTTAATAAAAATTGATCATTTTCAGAAGAGTATATACTAAGAAAGAAATTTAATGATTATTTAATATTATAAGTTGTTAATTGGTAAATTGAAATATTCTATAAATGTATAATTTTAAATATGCTAAAAGTTTATTAATTGTTATACTTTAAACAAAAGAACTCTACGTGATTACACATGTATCAAAAAGTTTTGTAAACGAAAATTCAGAATATCAATTTTTGAGAAACTTTAATTTTCAAAAGTAAATGTCAATACATGAATTAATTTCCAATTTATTCTCCTTTATTTTTTTATTTAATTATTTTAGAAAATATTGAAATAAAAAAACACCATTTAATATTTAAAAAAACACAACATTAAAATATATATCATTTGAAGCCTATAATCATTATTATTCAATCATTATAGAGAATTCTTTAAGAATTTATATTCTAATCTTGAATAATAGTAATTATTTATATCTATAATTAGTCATTTTAATATATAAATTATTACGTTTTTCAATCTAATTTTATAATTCTAGTTAGAATCTTTAGAATAATAATTAATTTGTTATTTGTACACATATAAATTTATATTTTAATTTGCATGTCAATAATATAATATATTAATTTTTAAGATGAATTAGGAGGAAGTATTTTTTAAAAAATAATGGTTTATTCTTTCTCATCAAGGGAAAATAGAGCAGTTTTATGATATCAATTTAAAAAAGGTTGTTTTTATGTAAATTTAATAGGTAATTGGTTCAGGTACATATGGAAGTGTTGTAAAAGCTACATTGAAGGGAACAAAAAATTAGAGAGCAGTAAAAGTTATCCCCAAAAGTAAAGTAAAGAATCCAGATAAATTCAAAAAAGAAATAGATATTTTGATATAACTTGATCATCCAAACATTATTAAATTATATGAAACTTTCGAAGATTAAAGAAATGTTTATCTTGTTATGGAGTACAATATTTTATATCTATTAGATTATGTGAAGGAGGAGAATTATTTGATAGAATTATGGATAAGGGATGCTTCAGTGAGTATGAAGCATATGAAATATTTTTATAAATTATGCAAGTAAAAATAAACATATTGAAATTAGGCTTTAAATTATTGTCATTCAAATGGCATTTGTCATAGAGATTTGAAACCTGAAAACTTTTTATTTTTAACTAAGGCTGATGATTCACCAATTAAAGTTATAGATTTTGGATTGAGTACACTATTTGAAGATCCAATTACTTCAAAGTAGACTGGTTAGAAATTAACAATGAAAACAAAAGCTGGAACACCTTATTACATTTCTCCAGAAGTTTTAAAAGGGAGTTATGATGAATTATGTGATATTTGGAGTGCAGGTGTTATCCTTTATATCTTACTTTCTGGAGTCCCACCTTTCTATGGAGACTCAGATCCTGAAATTTTGGATGCAGTACAAAAAGGAGATTATACAACTGAAATTCCAGAACTTAAAGCTGTAAGTGAAGCAGCTAAAGACTTGATTAAACATATGATTATCTCACCAGATAAAAGATATAAAGCTTCATAAGTTCTTAAACATAAATGGATGATAGAATCAAATAAACCAACAAAATGTTTATAAATTTATATTTTTATATAGAATTGAAACTAAATTTTGCTTAATTAAAGAATTTTAATGGTAGTAATAAATTGAAAAAAGTTGCATTAACATTTATTGCATCTTAATTAAACGAATAAGAAATTACTGATTTAGGCAAGTAAATATTAATAATATTATAAAACTAGATTATTTAAATAATTGGATAAAAATGGAGATGGTGTTCTAACTATTGATGAATTACGAGAAGGATTAATTGGAGTAAGTGATTCTTAGTAGAAGGATTTAGCAACTATTATTAGAAGTATAGACACTGATGGAAGTGGAACTATCAATTATACTGGTATCTAATTCTTATTTAAGAATAGAATTTTTGGCTGCTACAATGGAAAAATCTTTATATATGAAGGAAGAAAAATTATATTAAGCTTTTAAGATGTTAGATTTGGATGGAAGTGGTAAAATAGATAAACAAGAGCTCTAAACTGTTTTGGGAAGTAATCAAACATAAATTACTTATTATAGAGAGTGAAAAAGTCATAGATGAGAAATATTGGGATGATATGATAAGAGAAGCAGATAAAAATGGAGATGGAGAAGTAAATAATAAATTTATATTTATAGATTGATTATAATGAATTTATTGAAATGATGGATAAGTTTAGTTTGATTAATTGATATGGTTTTATTATAAAATTACATTAAAAACAAATTGGTATTAATATTTGATACTATTTCTTATTAAATAAAATATTTTAAGATTATGAAATTAGATATTTTTTTTTCATTTAAAAAATTAAATATTTAGTTTCAATTGTATAAGTTATAAATAACATTTTTTATAAATTAAACTAATTATATTATTGTATAATTCTAAATTATAGAAATCATCAATTTTGATTCTTGGATTAGATTTCCTAAGATTTCGAAAGCAAAGTTTCTTAACTTGCCACACCGTATTGTAGTATAGGGGTAGTCAAAAAATATTAAGGCATATAAGGCATTGTCAATTAAGGGGGATAACAATAAATTAAGTTAAAAGGTTATAAATTAATTTAAGTAAAAGAACTTGGTTGAAAATTAGAAGAGAAATATTCTAATTTTTCTTTGTGAAGTTTAGCCTAATTTTAATTTTCTTATTGTTCTTCAGCTTTAACTTGATTTTAAAAAGATTCTTATTAATCTTCTATTCTTATTTATTATTCTTCATATTTTTTTTCATTATTTGGGTGTTCTTAAAGTATTTATTCTTATATTTTATTTTGCTAATCGAATATAGATTCAAATTAGGATGTTTAATTTTATTATTATTATTATTTGATAATCTTAGAATTAGTTAATTTTGAAAACTAAAAATAAAATTAATTTATTACTTTCTTTTGTTTCTAAATTTTTTTGACTTTATTTTTCTCATTTTACTAATAAAACGAATTAGATAATTCTTAATTTAGTTATGGAATAACATAGTAAGGATTATCAATTTTCAAATAATGCTTACGAAGATATGAATAAAACCGATTTTTAATGATATTTTCCTTTAAATATAAATAATTATAATACCGGTCTACCTTAGAGCATCTTTGAGATTTTGCACCATTTCGACCCGAAACTCTTAAACCCTTCAATAATAAGCTAATCTTCAGCTTCTGTAAATGGCTCTTGATTGATTTCAGGGTTTAACTTGTTCACAAATCTTTCTCTTACTTATTTACTCGTTCTATTGGGTATATTTCTTGCTATTTCAACCCAATTATGTTAATAGATTTATACAAAGTGCAATAATAATTAATCCTCTTTTTTTGTCCATATTTATCTTTTACTTTACTCCTAATGTTAAAAAAAATATTTTACATTTATTGGCTTTATCCTTTTCCATCTTTAAGCACATTAAGAAGGATTTCTATTTTATAAAGCTGAAGCAACAGTCAACNTTAAATAAAATATTTTAAGATTATGAAATTAGATATTTTTTTTTCATTTAAAAAATTAAATATTTAGTTTCAATTGTATAAGTTATAAATAACATTTTTTATAAATTAAACTAATTATATTATTGTATAATTCTAAATTATAGAAATCATCAATTTTGATTCTTGGATTAGATTTCCTAAGATTTCGAAAGCAAAGTTTCTTAACTTGCCACACCGTATTGTAGTATAGGGGTAGTCAAAAAATATTAAGGCATATAAGGCATTGTCAATTAAGGGGGATAACAATAAATTAAGTTAAAAGGTTATAAATTAATTTAAGTAAAAGAACTTGGTTGAAAATTAGAAGAGAAATATTCTAATTTTTCTTTGTGAAGTTTAGCCTAATTTTAATTTTCTTATTGTTCTTCAGCTTTAACTTGATTTTAAAAAGATTCTTATTAATCTTCTATTCTTATTTATTATTCTTCATATTTTTTTTCATTATTTGGGTGTTCTTAAAGTATTTATTCTTATATTTTATTTTGCTAATCGAATATAGATTCAAATTAGGATGTTTAATTTTATTATTATTATTATTTGATAATCTTAGAATTAGTTAATTTTGAAAACTAAAAATAAAATTAATTTATTACTTTCTTTTGTTTCTAAATTTTTTTGACTTTATTTTTCTCATTTTACTAATAAAACGAATTAGATAATTCTTAATTTAGTTATGGAATAACATAGTAAGGATTATCAATTTTCAAATAATGCTTACGAAGATATGAATAAAACCGATTTTTAATGATATTTTCCTTTAAATATAAATAATTATAATACCGGTCTACCTTAGAGCATCTTTGAGATTTTGCACCATTTCGACCCGAAACTCTTAAACCCTTCAATAATAAGCTAATCTTCAGCTTCTGTAAATGGCTCTTGATTGATTTCAGGGTTTAACTTGTTCACAAATCTTTCTCTTACTTATTTACTCGTTCTATTGGGTATATTTCTTGCTATTTCAACCCAATTATGTTAATAGATTTATACAAAGTGCAATAATAATTAATCCTCTTTTTTTGTCCATATTTATCTTTTACTTTACTCCTAATGTTAAAAAAAATATTTTACATTTATTGGCTTTATCCTTTTCCATCTTTAAGCACATTAAGAAGGATTTCTATTTTATAAAGCTGAAGCAACAGTCAACCAATTAGTGCCATACAATTTTATAGCATACCTTAATTAATTGTCCTCCTTTTAAGACCAAGCTCTTCTTGAAGAATTGTTTGTTTTTAATACTCCAGATTGATTTTTATCAAGAGCTATAGGATTGATTTCTGGTAAATTGCTGTTTTCAAAAGATTAGAAGTGATTCATAAATATTATATTTAATAATAATTCAAATAACAATACATATCAATCTCCAAAAAACATAGATATATATATATTATGCTTTACCTATCTATTGTTAAATTATAAATAAAGATTATTATAAAGAATTGCTAATAACGTGTGTTAATTTTAATGGATTAATTTAAACTCTTCGACCAAACCATTTTTTATATAGTCAAGCATTTTCATAAATTATCATTCCACATCAATGGAAATCAATATTAATTTGATTTATTGTTTTAACTTCTATTAATATAACTTATCATACTCTTTATAAAATTAATTGATTTATGTTTATTAAATTAATTCTTTATCATTAGTTTGAGAAAGTTTTAAGCAAAGAAATTGTACAATTTTAAATATTACTTTTTAAAAATATCTAATCTTCCAAATTTTTAATTAAGATGGCTAAATAGACTAACTCATGAGTGAAAAATCATTTGGCCCCATGTCTAATAGATAATTATTTGTTTTTTATATTTAATTTTATTATTAATATATAACATATATAAATATTGATATTATTGTTTATTATGCTAATATAATTGTTGTATATTTATTAAATATTCAAGAAGAGTGAGATTTACAAAAAATTAAAAATCAAATCCTTAAACTAATTATATTAGATGATTTACTAAGTATTTGATATTATTAAATGATTAGATGCATCATTATTAAAATTGATTTTCAATGTTATCATTTATATGGTCAAATTGATAACCTTATTTAATTGTTAATATAAATATATTAAGCAAGAAGATTATTAAAGTATATAGGGGAATTTAATTTAATAAAAGGATCAGATAATTTTATCTACAAGTAAAAACTATTTTATAAAATATCTATATATGAAAGTACCTCAAAAAGTATTGATTCAAAGTAGTATTTTATAGTTGAATATCCTTTTAAATTAAGACAGATGATAGTAGATGCAAAAGATAATTCTTTTAAAAGTTTTAGAGATCATTAATTTTCATAAAATATATTGAATTTGAACAAAAAGTGTTTTTAATTTAATTTATTTAGTTTATTTATTTATTAATAATGTTCTATAATAATGATAATCATTTTATATATATTTTTTAAGGTATTATAAAATTAATTAATAATGTGGAATTACACTCCTGCTAGTAAAATTTGTCATATGAAAACATAAATGGAAGTAAAATAATTACTTAATTACAGGCATATGATAAACATTTATATAGTGTTAGAAATGCTAAATCGATAGTTAAAACAACTACTCCTTATAAACCATATTTTTTGTCAGTTTGTAGTCGATATCAAAATAAATATGAGTAAACAATAATAATGATTCCTTATGATATAGAGAAACAATGAGATTAACAAATGCAATTCAATATTATTTGACAAAATACTTGATATTGATATTAGATAAGGAGATTTAAGTTAATCAAAAATGAAATAAAAATTTAAGTTAAATAGTACAAGTCGTTAATCAACTAATAGAAACAGAGGTTTATCTATAGATCTAGAAAATAGTGTATAATGAATAACTAATAATAGAAAATTAGTGATAGGATTCAATCAGCAAAGAGTTAATATTCTAAATAAAGATAATTAAGACATAGTTCATAATTTGAAAGATACAGTAAGAATATCTCTTAGAATGCAAGTTAAATATATATCTTATAAATTAATAGGGAGATCATCTCATTATGATTTCAAATAGCTATTATTATCAAAATCTTTTGAGCATAAATTAAAGAAACCTTTACTTAGATCTTCATATGTGTCAAGTCAAAACTAGTATTCAGAACCAAGTCCATATTATTCAGAAAACCCTTAGGTTTATTTTTGATAATTTATTAACTGCTATTTCTTTAACAGATTAATTTTATAAATTATCTTATTCAAAAATATGGCTTATTATAGAGAAGAGCCTCTTTAGAAAGGTGATTATCATAATCGAATCCCTAATCATAATAATCATAAAACTATCAAGCCAGTATACAATGATGATCATAAAAATAATGAAAATTATTTGTAAAATCCTAAAAATTAGTAATCTTACATGGATATTGAAGTTCAAGATAGAAATAATAAATAATAATATTAAGGTAATAATAATGATGATGATCCATTTCCAGATAATCCTTATTACAATAAAGCTGCTTTAGATAAGGTTTGTAGTAAATCAATAATAACATTTAAAGATTAACCTAATAGATTTTAAGATGATCTAAAGAACAATGAATTATAAAGAGACAATTATAATTAAATAAATTAGCAATAATAAAATGAACCAATTTCTAAATATTACAATAATGATTAAAGAGATAGGTATTAAGAAGTTAAAAATTACTATTATAATTAAAATCATTAGTAAAAATCTATTTTATCATCAAAATTATATTCTCGAGATCATCTTGATTAGTATTAAGAATCATAAAAGTAAACTTAAAATAAACAATTAGTTAATTAATAATAAATATACTAATATGCAAATGAAGATCTTTAAGAAAATCCATCATTTGGATAAATATAAGATTATTAATAATCATAATAGAGATAATAATAATAATAATAAGATTATAAATAATCATAATAGAGATAATAATAATAAGATTATTAATAATCACAATAGAGATAATAATAATAATATTAATATTAACCAATCTAATAATAATTCTCTTATTCAAACTAATCATCATAAGAATTTAAGAATTAAAATACATAATAATACATATCAAATTCAACTAGATAATAAACTATTAATATGAATGAGCATCCATCTTAAAGAGAAGTTTAATAATAAAGATAATGTGTTACTTATCAAACACAATCTCCTTAAAGATTTCATTAAGATCTTTCAATTCAAAAATAATAACAATATTAATAAAGATTCCAATATCTAGAAGAATTGAAGAGCAGATTACCTAAAGATGATATGTTCTATTCATAAATTGATAAAAGAATGCCTTAAACTGAACAATATTAACGATAAGAATAAAATGAAAGAATAGCAAGAATAAATCCAATTGCTGCTGTCAGTAGAATTTAGAAACCTAATTAAATTACTTAAGATAATCAAAATTATTCTAAGGATCAATATTAACAGTATTAATAATAAAAAAGAGAAGATTATTTAATATAATCAAATAGAAATAATTCTAATTAATATCTTAACCTTTATAAATCTAATAAACATTATGATAATTATTAGAATGTTTAAAATTAATAGATAAATAACTATAATCAAAAGACTAGAACACCAAATCATTATAGAGAAGATAGTTATGAAAGAGAAAGGTAATAATTTATATAGTAAACTTCTCATATCAAAACAAATTCTTATACTAACAACAATAAAAGAAGATGAATAACTAGAATTTTATATATTATAAATATTAATATCATCATATACAATAATAATATAATAAATATTCAAATGTAATTATTAAAGTCTACATATTAAGATGCTAAGAATATTCAAAAAAAAATAATGATGATCAATAAAATCATGTTTATCAATTTAATTTTATTTATTAAAGATGATAATTCAGCACATGCAGAATTCATTGGCCATGGTACTTAATCTATCAATCCAAAATCACCTTAATTATATTAATTTGATTATTGTCTTTTTACCCATTTTACTAAAGTTTGATATACTGTCCTATTTGAACCTTCAGGAATTGTCCATTTAAGAGAAAATGATAACTAGCTTACAAAAAAACTATATTTAATATTTAAATTTACCAATGTGAAATACAACTAGGAGCAAAAGAGCCAGTATTATAATTTTTAATTAGTGATTCTTAAATTATTTGATTAAATTTCAAGTAAACTAGATCAATTAAATTCATTTCATTATTTTAACAATTTTTCAATGTTTAATCTTTAATACATTTAATATCGAGATAATTTTAAAGAAATTTGATATCATAAAAGGGTTATATAATAAATACTGGTCGTTAAATATAAAGTAGTAAATTTTAAAAATACAAACATTTCCAATTTTAATTTGGAAAATTGAATGCACATTTTTTATGAGGATTTTAGGTTTCATTATTAGCAATATAATTCATAATCTTCAATGATTATTATAATAAATTAATTCCATCTATGGTTTACATATCAAATAATATGCTTGAATCAGCAACAAATAATATCTCAATATTATTTGGAACTAATGAAGTAAGATACTATTCCCATTAAAGAGCTGCAATTCCTCCAATTGAACAACCTGATAATATTATTAATTCAGCTTTTTAAAATTTAGTCTTAAAATGGTCAAAAATGCTTCTTATAATTAATTCGCCTCTAAAATACATAGTGTGCTTTTAGAAATAAACTGATTCTGATTTATAACCTTGAAAGCCTAATAAAATTTAAATTATCAAAACCAACTCCATCGCAATAATTTATGTGGATTAGATTCCAATTATGGAAATAATAATTTTTTTGTTTATCTGAAGATAATATTCCATCCTATTCTAATGAACTAGCTCTATTTAGTGAACTTCCTTGTTATGTTTGCATCCTTAATAAAATTCATATTTAAACTTTTCAACAGCATTCATTAAAAATTCTTCTTCAGTATTACCTAAAATCAACCTTTTTTAATTATTTATATTTACTCTCCTCCCTCAAAAAATACAATAAAGTTATTCTAACCGCCTTCAAATCCTTCTTGAAAATAATAGGACTATATTTATTTAGTCAATATACTCCTAAGGTACCATCTAAACATTTTGCTCTGTCATCTTCAACAAATTATAACATGAGTTAGAAGCAGCACCATAGTAATTGAAATAAAATTATAAGCATTAATTATAAAAATTAATTATAAAAATTAATTTAAATTATTTCATATTATTTTTGAGTTAATGTATCATGAATAATCTAAATTTAATTTCTTATTACTATATTATTTTCTTACAATTATATTTTAATACAAATTATTTTTAATTAGCTATTTAATCCAATATATCAATAAAATTAACATTGTATCCTATATTCTTATATAAAATTAAAAACCATTCAGACTTAATTAATTAATAAAATCTATAACAAAATATAAAGATAATTACTATTAAGTAAAATAATAATATTATCATAAAAAGTTATTATTAATAAAATAAAATTTTGATAAATATAGTTTATTAATAATTATATCATATCATTTATTATCTTGTTATATATTTGAAAATAGTTTTTCCAAAATGTTATTCTTAAACAGTTTTTTCAGGATAAATTTAAGGTAATGACTAAGATCTGGCTCTTCCTTTTAATGGTTTAAGGCTAACATCAGTATCATTTCTAGTATCCTAACTCAAAATGGTCCAAGTCTTTACAAATTTAACTCTTATTGCATCAATCAACATCGTTATAAATAAATAAGTCAACATACAAAATGCAGGAATACAAACAAATACTCCGAATATGTATGCATATTAATCTTTACTTTTCTTTATAATCTATGTTATAAAATATATTCCCAAAGCAAATAGTATTAGAGTGAGCATTGGAAAAATGAAAAAGAATATTTTTTAACTAATACTCATTTATCTCAATCTTGAACACACATATTTATTAGAGAAGGTTAATTTACACTATAGAGAGCTATTACATAATTCACATTAAGCCTAAAACTCAATTTCTTATAACTTTACTATCAATCAAATTGTCTATTGAGAATTTACTCAGAAGCCATGTCTTCAAACAATCCATATGAATATATTTAATAGTACCATCACAATTACATGGAGATATTAGTTTATCTAATGAATCTTATTCGAGACAGATTCTGCATGTTGGGTTCAACTTTATATGATAAATTCATACATCAATTTATGTATTTTTTATTCTTTCTAATACAATTTAAGGGGTTTCAATGTATCTTTTAACTTTTTTAATAGTCTTTTTATTTAGATTCACAATAATTTATTTCTTTTGAGAATTCTTAAGTATGTATAATTAAATTTACCTCCACTATTATCATTTATTCATCTATTTAATTTTATTAATTTTTAATATTATTAGATGGATGATATACATTTAAACCTAATTCATTAAAATCTTAAATAATATCATCAGGTTAAGGACATATTTGTGATTTACTAACATTGATTGAATTTTGAAATGTTTAGCTTGTAGTATTTTTATATTTCGGCCTAATTTTAATTAACATAATAATATATATATTAAATAATTATAATAATAATATATTAGGTTTTGAGATATTTTTGCATCTTGACTATGAATTTAAGTTTGCATTTTTATTGATCATATTTATCAAATCATCTTAATCTTCTAGCTTCTCTTTCACATTCCATGAGTTCTAAAGTATCTCCTTTTCGTACAGGACCCATAACATTTCTTATTAATGTTCTTTATTGTCCCACCAATTGCACTTTTACTTATGTTATACCTCCTCTAGATCCTGAATTATTTATTACTATTCTTACCTGTTCTTCCTATTATTTCAATGACTGTAGCTCTAGTTCCTTCAACTCTTTCTTTTGTTGAGTCCATTAGATAGTTTTTATATTTATTATAAAATTGATTTATAAATTAAATGATGCAAAATGCATCTTATAAGAATAATAATTTTATATTCATGATTTAAAATATCATAAAAGTTAAATCTATAATATATCAAGAATGTAGAAATTGTAAATAAACTTATATTTAATTATGATAAAATAATTTTTAATAAATTACTCAAAAAAGGTGTAATAATTTTTCATATCCTTTCCAAATAAGACTAAGAATTTTACGTAAACCTTCTGGTAATATTCTATTTTCACTTAATTTATCAGCATACCATACTCTTATATATGCTTATGCATTTATCATGTTTATATTAAATTTAGTTTTGAGTAATACGTTTTAGAATATAATCATAGCATGAATAAATGATGTTTTTTTTATAAAGATTCCAAAAACAGAGTATAGGAATAAATAGATCTCTATTTTCTATTTTGTAAGAATTATTTCAGTTCTATTATTTTTAATATAGTTGGCTATTTTCAAAGATATGCCATCCTCATGATTAATTTATTTCCAAAATTCTGCTGCTCCAACCATAAAATGTAAAGCAATTGGCAATTAAAATGCAAAACTATCAATTGTAAATAAAGAAAAAATATAGAAAATATTAGATGTAAATTCAAGTTAAATTATTTTATGAATATATTCTTAAATATGATTTCTCTTTGGTAACCCTTATAATCTATAGATACCAAGTAAACATATAAAAACACTTCCAAAATTCAAAAATTTTTGTAATTAAGGTGATAGCAAAAATAATAATGCAGGAAAATATAATACTTTAAGCATTCCTTCTATTATAGTACAAATAGGAATTGATGATAATTATTGTCTATTCTAATTATATTATTATTATTGCTAAGATTATTATGGTTATTAATAATTTTCTTATTTTTGTGGTTTTTGATTTTCTTATGATTAGGTGTTTTATGAAGGATTTTAAAATTCTTAATTGATATCAAATTCTGGATCAATATATTTTTTATACCATTTTCGTTTAATTTTATCTAAATTTGGAGGCAAGGGATATACATTTAGTAGATATTGTTAAAAATTTTCATTTCGATCAAAATCGAATTTGCTATATGCTTCCATAATTAAAATAAATAATATGACAAATTAAGATCAACTTGGATTTATACTATCAATTGACAAAGATTGGTAGAATTTAGTTGAAAAGTGTTAAAGCATAGACAACAATATTAAAAATATGCAAACTAGACTTACATTTACTATTGGATAAATGAATAAAGAAATTGGGAATAGACACATTATACCGGCATATTAAGTAGAAGAAGAATAAATTAAAGAAGAAAGTCCTTTACCTCAATAAGGAGAATCTCCTTTGAAGAAACCTGTAAATTTGGTTAAACAAGCACAAGTTCTAGCTCCAGTTTATTCAACTATAAGTGAAAGATTTTAGATATGTAAATTTTTAGGAAAAGGAAAATTTAGTGATGTTTATTAGGCATAAGATAAATAATCAAAAATAATTGTTGCATTAAAAGTTATTCCAAAAGCCACAATATCAAAATATGGTATGGAAAAATAATTGGCAAATGAAATTAAAATTTAAGGATATATAGATCATCCTAATATTCTCAAACTTTATGGTTATTTTTAAGAATGGTCAAAGGTAGTTTTGATTCTAGAATATGCTACTGATGGTGAGCTTTTTAAATTATTAAAAAAATAACCAAAAAAAAGATTTACAGAATAAATTGCCTCAGGGTATATTAGATAAATTATAGAAGGAATTGGATATATGCATAGCAAAAACATAATTCATAGAGATATTAAACCTGAAAATATATTAATTACTCACTCTTTACTGAAAATAGCTGATATGGGATTATCAACTTACAATCCTGCAAATCAAGTTAGACAATCTTTTTGTGGAACTGTAGATTATATGTCTCCTGAGATTGCAGCAGGAAGAGATTATGATCATACAGTAGATTTATGGGCTATAGGAATTCTAACATTTGAATTATGTACTGGAGAGACACCTTTTTATGAAAAAAAAAAAGAAGATACTATGAATAAAATTATTTATAGTGGATTTGAATTCCCAAATTTTATTAGTGAAGAATGTAAAGGTTTTGTGCGTGCTTTAGTTTAAAAGGATCCTAAAAAAAGATTAAGCATTTTCTAGATTATGTAGCATTCTTGGATACAAAAATATGAAAAAGAAAGTACAATTTTTAATAGAGATTTGTTAAATTCTATGGTTAAACTTTTAAAATGATAATAAAGATCAATTTTGTAATCAATCATCAATATTCAGCTCAAATTTCACATATAAGTCTTTATTCAATTTTTATGAATTGTTATTATAGAACTGATACTTCATAGAATCCTAATAAAATTTAGTAATATTTTTAGACTTTAATCTTAAGACCAAAAAAGAAAGAATTTCCTTTTTTCTTATAGATTATTAATAATCAATTTATATATAAAATTATAACAATTTCTGAACCCAAATACCTAATTTCTGATAAAATTTTTAATAAATATTTTTGTTTTGTTTCAAAAACATCCAAGACTTAAATTGTATAAAATTATTAAGTTTTAGAATTTAAATATATTGAAAAACAATACTAAAAACAGTATCTAATATTAATTTCATTTTTTAACAGCATATTAATTAATTTAAAATTCTAAAAAATATATATTTAAAGATAATCATAACTTATTATTATTAGTCATACATGCATAGATTTTGTATTAAATTTAACTTTATTTGCTGATCTTTAATCTGTTTTTCTTTAGCTCTTATTTGAAGGTGAAGTAGCACTTAATAATGGACTTTTACATACAGATCCTTTAGATTTTAATGTAGCAACAGAATTATGTTGTCCAAAAGGCTACTTTTACTTTTACTTAGTTTTTGCATTCATCTTATATTTCAAAATCCCTTATTCTATCATTTCAATGTCTTTTTTTATTTTATTAGATGTCATAGATTTAGAATCTTTGATAGTTGAAATTGATAATGATCTATCAAATATTGATTTGGTCTCATTTGCTTAAGTTGCTATTCTTCTGTTTGAATTATAAAGCGTTTTAGTATTAATTCCATAATAATTTTGATTGTCTAAATTCAAATGCTTTTCTAAAGATTCTAATTTGATATATTTATTTTATCCCTCAATTCCAATTTTGAATAGTTGTTATAAATTTTACAAAATGTCTTTTTTATTTTATTCAGAAGCAGTCTTCTGTTTACTTATCCCTGTAAACATGATTTAATTCTAATTTTCCTCAGACATATAGATTTTTAAGCATAATTCATCTGATTCTAGTTTATCGATCATCTTAAAATTTTTTTTTATAAGATATTCCATTTAAGGTGGTTGAGCTTAAGGTTTGGGTGTTTCAACAATGCTATCATTTCTTTTTAACATTCTAAAGTTTTCAGTAGAAATGGCTTTGCTTAATTAAGGACTTTCACTTAGTTTTCTATCTGTAATCAATCCAATTTCTAATTTCTTCTTATCTCCTTTACAACTAGTTCTTAAAGATGAATTTGGAAGTCCAGGAGAATTAACTCTTTAAAAAGAACCTAGTTCATTTCGATTAGAGCGATTTGAATTATGACTTGAGTGAATCAAATTTTATTGGCAAACTTAGCTCATTTTACAAAATAAATTCGTTAATAATTAATGATTAAAGAAAAACTTAATAATAAAAATGCTAAAACATTATTGTAACTTGCCTATGAAAAATTATTATTTCAAACCATTAGATTACTATATAAATGATCAATTAATCATTATTCTTTTCAAATAATTCAACTTGATAATTTACATGTAAAATATGAATAATATAGAAATAAAAATTAAAGATTGTGAATTTATATTTATATTTATGTCATTTTTAATAATTCATATTTAGTCTAATAATGAATATAATCACTAATAAAATTAATGACCCTTAACAATATAATATTATATCAAATGAAAAGTACTTCAATAATATAAACTAACTAATAGGACCCACAACAACGGATACTAATGAACTAATATATGTTAAAGGGAATAATTGATGTCCAATATCATCTCCAAAAATCTTGATTAAAGCAGGCCCTGTTACAACCAATGCTCCTTTGTCAAACATCATCGTTACGACATAAACAATAAAAAATGAAATTTTATCTGTAGCCGAAAATGGCAAAGCTATAGCTCCTATTCCACTAACAAAATATATAATCACAAAAAGTATTTTAAAATTTATTCTATCAATTAAAAATCCCCAAAGTATATTAGCAAAGGATGATGCCAATAAAGCAACTAAATCTACAAATGTAATAAAAAAATCTTCATTAATTTTTGTTAGGAAATAACTCTTATAATTTAATCCAAGAGTCAATAAGAATAAAGTTAAAACACTCAAACAACTAACAATAGTAAGAAATTAAATTGATTTTATTGCTGCAGATAAAGATTATTTAATTTTAATTTAAGGTCTACTAATTATAAAAAAAATACAATCCATGATCTGAAGCAATTTCAAGAGGCAAATCATTTACAGCAACTGATGAAGGATCAATTTCAACAGATGAATCTTATTATGCTTCTTTTTCATGTTATTTAGGTGTTTCCTCTTCAAATTATTATATCTTTTAATCACTAACTCCTACTTAATTATAGTTAGTTGTCTCAACATATGGACGAATTAAGAATCCTCCAATTAAACAACATATACTAGCAACATAACTCACTATTTAAGCAGCTTTTTATGCATTTTAAGCTACATTTCCTGAAAAATATTTAATTGTTTATGTCTTATGCTCAGTTATAAGGTCTGCTTATTAATTATTGGGATTGCTGATATAAGTAATTATAATGACATAGATTACTGATGCAAAACCATAAGCTCCCAATAAGAGACCTGAAACACGTCCTTCAGATTTTTTAAAATGACTCCAAGTGCATGAAAAAACAGGAAATGCTACACTTGAATATCCGATTCCATAGAAAAAAATATAAAATATTAAGAATGTCAAGTATGTAGGCATATAAGGAGCAATTAATAATGATGCACATTATATTATTGTGGCTATTCTTATGTGTAAAATAAATCCAACCTTCTTTGCTATTTTTACTGAAAATATTGTAATAAGAGCAATTGGAAGTGCCATAATGGCAATTGGTAAAGTGTTGTACTAAAAATAAATTAAGAATTTACTGCTATGGATAAATCAGGTTCTGTTTGCTTGTAGAAAGAATAGAAATAAACATTTGTTTTTCCCCAAGTTAACAATAATGCTGATCCTATTTTAATTAAAACAGCGCCAATCAGACATTTTTTTGATTCGGATAGGAACATTTATTTTTGATTTATTTTTATAAAAACTAAAAGCACATAATTAATAAAAATAAAGAATTTATATCATTTTTTTTTTTAAAGTTATTTTTAGATTTCTAAAGCTTATGATTGAATCAATTTATTGTTTTTAAACATTTCTATAACTTCTTTTAGATTTTAAAAACATTACAATCTTAATAAAGAATTTTTGTAGGTTTGCAAATCATCTCTCAATTCATAAACTAAAATAATTAATTAACTTAGTAAAGCTAAATTGATAAGATATACTTCTACATTTCCTTGTTTAATTATTACTTTGTTAATAACATTTTTATGAAATGCTTAACTGATACCTTCTAATAGATTAGCTTTAAATAGAATAGCTTAAACCTATTTCTCTTAAGCAAATAAACATAGTTATTTCATAATAGAATAAAAAATTTATTAATAAAAAGGGTTAGGTAATTGATGAAATTATTCATTTAGGTTAAATGAGGATGTGTCATTGAGTTTTAAATAAATTCGATGATTCCTTTATTTAAAGTTTCTTAAAATTAATTCAATAATTTTTGTACTAAAAATTCTTACACTCCCTATTTAATTCTAATTAGAAAGGAACTCAAATTTTTTTATATTTTCATTGTACATTTTATGCATATTAGTTAAATTTCTACATATTCTGGGTAAATATGTAATGTATATTTTAGTTAATTTTTCATTCATGGGTTTTTTATTAATTCTTTGAATAAGATCAATAAGAATAATCTAACAATTATTTGAACTATTGTCTTCATATGAGTTTTAATATAAGGCTGTTTGTGTAAGGGAATAATGATGTAATAGTTTTTCAAACAAAATATATTAATCATCTAATAGTTCATCAAAAGCATAATGATATTCAAAATTTTACATTGATTAAATGATGTTTTTTAATAAATTACTATTTCTAAAAGATATTATTTCATCATTTTAAGTTTCATATTTTGCATATTCTTCTTTCATTATTGTATCCACAACACTATTTTCTTAATTTGGATAATATACAAACAATTTAGCCTAAGATGTAGGTGTCTAATTTAAATTCATTTATCTATTAGTTGAACTATTATCTATATTTATTTATGAGAATAATTACCATTCACACCAACCAGACTCATATATTAAGGTTGGTCAGATCTTTTACTAATTGTTTAAGCAAGAATATTTTCAGAGAATGTCATAGATTTTTGTTTACGTTAAGTATTTTTTAAGGTTGTTAAATCTGTTATAATGTTTGTAGGTTAAATATTTAAAGATGGAAGTTTAATAGAATTTTATAACTAAATGATATTAAGGGGTGGTTCTGTGACTTAGGGTCTTTAAGATCTCTATTCAAATTATATATTTTTCATTCCTTCTGATGCTTGTTTATATACATTATATAATGTGGGAGTATCAGCAGGAGTACTATTTTCCTTATAAAATTAAACTACATCCTATAATCTATCTATATCTCTGCCTTATTAATTTAATTCAGATAAATCAATATATTCTTAAATAATAACTTTATTGATTTATCTAGTTAAACTTGATAAGTCTGAACCTCTTCTGAAATGTGAACTTAAAAGCATTTTTCTTTCCATAAGTTATTTATTTTAAATTAAAGTTTTTCCTGAAATTAAAGGACCTAAATATTGATCTATATTGCTGCTAATAGAATAAGTTATTGCAGCTTAATCATCATCTTAAATTAATTGTAATTTGTAATCATTGATATGTTTTAAAAATTAATACGCTTCTTTTGTAATATCTTTTCTTTTATGAAATACTCCATCTTTTTCTTTGTTTGTAATCTTACTTACGAGTAGAGTAATATATCCTTAACGATTAAGGAATTACCAAATATAATTTCTTAAATCTTAAGGAATTTTTGAATAATTTGGATCCATAAATCTCATTAGAAAATCTAAATAGTGGGGATTATCTTATATAATGAATATTAAAAATACAAAGATAATCTAAAAATTGTTGATGAAATTAAAAGTAGAGAAAATTGTAAATAGTTTCTTTTAATTCATATTTTAAGTAAAATTAGAGTAGACCAATAATATGGGTTAAATTTCCACTTGATTATTGATTTTGAAAGAATCCAGATATACTGCGAACTAATTATTAATTTGATTAATTACAAGCAATTTGCATAGTATGTTAATTAATTTACATAATCATTTAATGATTATGATAATCTGTTAGAAATAGCATAGCTTTATAGGATCTTAAAGTAGTCAATTTATCTGGTTTAATTATATGTTGTTTGTATTGATTATCATCACAAGGCTATTGAATATCATTTGCTAAGGCATCAGTTGCAAAGATTAATCCTGGTTCAGTTGCAACAGGATTAGTAATATAAGCAAATAAATTTTATAGAGCATCTATATCTGCCAGATATTCACTTTATTCAGAATCAATTCTTGGTTTATTTTAAATTAAAATTTCATCTAGATTTATTTCATTTCCCTTAATAGAATCATCTGAATTACTATTATTTAAATGATCATTATTAAGTTATTACTTGGAAGGCATTTTGGAAGATAATGTTTAAGATTATAGAATATTCATTGCCATCAATGACATTTTTGGTTTTGAACTTTTCCTTGCTTAGCTACCTTTTTCTTATAATTCAATAGCAACATTTTAATAATGAAATTCATCTGTATTCTTTTAAACCTCTTCTTGGTATAATTTTAATACAGCTATTCTTTAATCAATTAATTTTAATTACTTTCTTCAATTAGCTAATTTAGTTGATTTGCAGATTTCAATCTATGACCTAATTATTGTTAGATTTATCCTACTTTTTTCATAATTACTCTTACCAATTTCTCATTTTCAGCATGTTAAAGAAATATAATGAAAGCATAACATTTATCATCAACATCAAAACTAATATTATTTACTTATTTTATTACTCTAATTCTGAGATTTCAATTAAAACAGTTTCTAAAAATTCTAAGGCTATATATTTTCCATTTCCTTGATTTGGAAGTTAAGCATATTCTTCAATTGCTTTAAAACAACCATTAATCCATTCTTTGGAATGCTTAAATATATTAAGTAATGAAATTAATATCATATCTATAGTGTCTGGTATTTGACTATGCAATTAAAGTAAAAATCTAATAATTCTAGGTTCATGTATTAAACTATGTTTTTAAGGAAATGGTATAGTTTAATTGATGAATTTCAAGATTGGTAACACTTTAGATAAAACATCGTTTTGTTTTAGAGCCAATTCAAAAGATTTCACTAAACTCATTCTAATATTAAAAATTGAGATTTTTGAAGT